TGACCCTCTCCTCCTCCCCCTGCTGCTCTCACCCTCTCCCTTGACCCTCTCCTCCTCCCCCTGCTGCTCTCACCCTCTCCCTGACCCTCTCCTCCTCCCCCTGCTGCTCTCACCCTCTCCCCTGACCCTCTCCTCCTCCCCCTGCTGCTCTCACCCTCTCCCCTGACCCTCTCCTCCTCCCCCTGCTGCTCTCACCCTCTCCCCTGACCCTCTCCTCCTCCCCCTGCTCCTCTCACCCTCTCCCCTGACCCTCTCCTCCTACCCCTGCTCCTCTCACCCTCTCCCCTGACCCTCTCCTCCTCCCCCTGCTCCTCTCACCCTCTCCCCTGACCCTCTCCTCCTCCCCCTGCTCCTCTCACCCTCTCCCCTGACCCTCTCCTCCTCCCCCTGCTCCTCTCACCCTCTCCCCTGACCCTCTCCTCCTCCCCCTGCTCCTCTCACCCTCTCCCCTGACCCTCTCCTCCTCCCCCTGCTCCTCTCACCCTCTCCCCTCACCCTCTCCTCCTCCCCCTGCTCCTCTCACCCTCTCCCCTCACCCTCTCCTCCTCCCCCTGCTCCTCTCACCCTCTCCCCTGACCCTCTCCTCCTCCCCCTGCTCCTCTCACCCTCTCCCCTGACCCTCTCCTCCTCCCCCTGCTCCTCTCACCCTCTCCCCTGACCCTCTCCTCCTCCCCCTGCTCCTCTCACCCTCTCCCCTCACCCTCTCCTCCTCCCCCTGCTCCTCTCACCCTCTCCCCTGACCCTCTCCTCCTCCCCCTGCTCCTCTCACCCTCTCCCCTGACCCTCTCCTCCTCCCCCTGCTCCTCTCACCCTCTCCCCTGACCCTCTCCTCCTCCCCCTGCTCCTCTCACCCTCTCCCCTGACCCTCTCCTCCTCCCCCTGCTCCTCTCACCCTCTCCCCTGACCCTCTCCTCCTCCCCCTGCTCCTCTCACCCTCTCCCCTGACCCTCTCCTCCTCCCCCTGCTCCTCTCACCCTCTCCCCTGACCCTCTCCTCCTCCCCCTGCTCCTCTCACCCTCTCCCCTGACCCTCTCCTCCTCCCCCTGCTCCTCTCACCCTCTCCCCTGACCCTCTCCTCCTCCCCCTGCTCCTCTCACCCTCTCCCCTGACCCTCTCCTCCTCCCCCTGCTCCTCTCACCCTCTCCCCTCACCCTCTCCTCCTCCCCCTGCTCCTCTCACCCTCTCCCCTGACCCTCTCCTCCTCCCCCTGCTCCTCTCACCCTCTCCCCTGACCCTCTCCTCCTCCCCCTGCTCCTCTCACCCTCTCCCCTGACCCTCTCCTCCTCCCCCTGCTCCTCTCACCCTCTCCCCTCACCCTCTCCTCCTCCCCCTGCTCCTCTCACCCTCTCCCCTGACCCTCTCCTCCTCCCCCTGCTCCTCTCACCCTCTCCCCTGACCCTCTCCTCCTCCCCCTGCTCCTCTCACCCTCTCCCCTGACCCTCTCCTCCTCCCCCTGCTCCTCTCACCCTCTCCCCTGACCCTCTCCTCCTCCCCCTGCTCCTCTCACCCTCTCCCCTGACCCTCTCCTCCTCCCCCTGCTGCTCCTGCAGACCTTCGAGCCAGCCTCAGAGACAATCAAGCACGGGGCTTCTGCAGTGGATGTTGTTGTTAAGCCGCCTCAACAACCCTCTTCTCCCCTCCTATCCTCTCCTCTCACCCTCTCCCCTGACCCTCTCCTCCTCCCCCTGCTGCTCCTGCAGAACTTCGAGCCAGCCTCAGAGACAATCAAGCACGGGGCTTCTGCAGTGGATGTTGTTGTTAAGCCGCCTCAACAACCCTCTTCTCCCCTCCTATCCTCTCCTCTCACCCTCTCCCCTGACCCTCTCCTCCTCCCCCTGCTGCTCCTGCAGACCTTCGAGCCAGCCTCAGAGACAATCAAGCACGGGGCTTCTGCAGTGGATGTTGTTGTTAAGCCGCCTCAACAACCCTCTTCTCCCCTCCTATCCTCTCCTCTCACCCTCTCCCCTGACCCTCTCCTCCTCCCCCTGCTGCTCCTGCAGACCTTCGAGCCAGCCTCAGAGACAATCAAGCACGGGGCTTCTGCAGTGGATGTTGTTGTTAAGCCGCCTCAACAACCCTCTTCTCCCCTCCTATCCTCTCCTCTCACCCTCTCCCCTGACCCTCTCCTCCTCCCGCTGCTGCTCCTGCAGACCTTCGAGCCAGCCTCAGAGACAATCAAGCACGGGGCTTCTGCAGTGGATGTTGTTGTTAAGCCGCCTCAACAACCCTCTTCTCCCCTCCTATCCTCTCCTCTCACCCTCTCCCCTGACCCTCTCCTCCTCCCCCTGCTGCTCCTGCAGACCTTCGAGCCAGCCTCAGAGACAATCAAGCACGGGGCTTCTGCAGTGGATGTTGTTGTTAAGCCGCCTCAACAACCCTCTTCTCCCCTCCTATCCTCTCCTCTCACCCTCTCCCCTGACCCTCTCCTCCTCCCCCTGCTGCTCCTGCAGACCTTCGAGCCAGCCTCAGAGACAATCAAGCACGGGGCTTCTGCAGTGGATGTTGTTGTTAAGCCGCCTCAACAACCCTCTTCTCCCCTCCTATCCTCTCCTCTCACCCTCTCCCCTGACCCTCTCCTCCTCCCCCTGCTGCTCCTGCAGACCTTCGAGCCAGCCTCAGAGACAATCAAGCACGGGGCTTCTGCAGTGGATGTTGTTGTTAAGCCGCCTCAACAACCCTCTTCTCCCCTCCTATCCTCTCCTCTCACCCTCTCCCCTGACCCTCTCCTCCTCCCCCTGCTGCTCCTGCAGACCTTCGAGCCAGCCTCAGAGACAATCAAGCACGGGGCTTCTGCAGTGGATGTTGTTGTTAAGCCGCCTCAACAACCCTCTTCTCCCCTCCTATCCTCTCCTCTCACCCTCTCCCCTGACCCTCTCCTCCTCCCCCTGCTGCTCCTGCAGACCTTCGAGCCAGCCTCAGAGACAATCAAGCACGGGGCTTCTGCAGTGGATGTTGTTGTTAAGCCGCCTCAACAACCCTCTTCTCCCCTCCTATCCTCTCCTCTCACCCTCTCCCCTGACCCTCTCCTCCTCCCCCTGCTGCTCCTGCAGACCTTCGAGCCAGCCTCAGAGACAATCAAGCACGGGGCTTCTGCAGTGGATGTTGTTGTTAAGCCGCCTCAACAACCCTCTTCTCCCCTCCTATCCTCTCCTCTCACCCTCTCCCCTGACCCTCTCCTCCTCCCCCTGCTGCTCCTGCAGACCTTCGAGCCAGCCTCAGAGACAATCAAGCACGGGGCTTCTGCAGTGGATGTTGTTGTTAAGCCGCCTCAACAACCCTCTTCTCCCCTCCTATCCTCTCCTCTCACCCTCTCCCCTGACCCTCTCCTCCTCCCCCTGCTGCTCCTGCAGACCTTCGAGCCAGCCTCAGAGACAATCAAGCACGGGGCTTCTGCAGTGGATGTTGTTGTTAAGCCGCCTCAACAACCCTCTTCTCCCCTCCTATCCTCTCCTCTCACCCTCTCCCCTGACCCTCTCCTCCTCCCCCTGCTGCTCCTGCAGACCTTCGAGCCAGCCTCAGAGACAATCAAGCACGGGGCTTCTGCAGTGGATGTTGTTGTTAAGCCGCCTCAACAACCCTCTTCTCCCCTCCTATCCTCTCCTCTCACCCTCTCCCCTGACCCTCTCCTCCTCCCCCTGCTGCTCCTGCAGACCTTCGAGCCAGCCTCAGAGACAATCAAGCACGGGGCTTCTGCAGTGGATGTTGTTGTTAAGCCGCCTCAACAACCCTCTTCTCCCCTCCTATCCTCTCCTCTCACCCTCTCCCCTGACCCTCTCCTCCTCCCCCTGCTGCTCCTGCAGACCTTCGAGCCAGCCTCAGAGACAATCAAGCACGGGGCTTCTGCAGTGGATGTTGTTGTTAAGCCGCCTCAACAACCCTCTTCTCCCCTCCTATCCTCTCCTCTCACCCTCTCCCCTGACCCTCTCCTCCTCCCCCTGCTGCTCCTGCAGACCTTCGAGCCAGCCTCAGAGACAATCAAGCACGGGGCTTCTGCAGTGGATGTTGTTGTTAAGCCGCCTCAACAACCCTCTTCTCCCCTCCTATCCTCTCCTCTCACCCTCTCCCCTGACCCTCTCCTCCTCCCCCTGCTGCTCCTGCAGACCTTCGAGCCAGCCTCAGAGACAATCAAGCACGGGGCTTCTGCAGTGGATGTTGTTGTTAAGCCGCCTCAACAACCCTCTTCTCCCCTCCTATCCTCTCCTCTCACCCTCTCCCCTGACCCTCTCCTCCTCCCCCTGCTGCTCCTGCAGACCTTCGAGCCAGCCTCAGAGACAATCAAGCACGGGGCTTCTGCAGTGGATGTTGTTGTTAAGCCGCCTCAACAACCCTCTTCTCCCCTCCTATCCTCTCCTCTCACCCTCTCCCCTGACCCTCTCCTCCTCCCCCTGCTGCTCCTGCAGACCTTCGAGCCAGCCTCAGAGACAATCAAGCACGGGGCTTCTGCAGTGGATGTTGTTGTTAAGCCGCCTCAACAACCCTCTTCTCCCCTCCTATCCTCTCCTCTCACCCTCTCCCCTGACCCTCTCCTCCTCCCCCTGCTGCTCCTGCAGACCTTCGAGCCAGCCTCAGAGACAATCAAGCACGGGGCTTCTGCAGTGGATGTTGTTGTTAAGCCGCCTCAACAACCCTCTTCTCCCCTCCTATCCTCTCCTCTCACCCTCTCCCCTGACCCTCTCCTCCTCCCCCTGCTGCTCCTGCAGACCTTCGAGCCAGCCTCAGAGACAATCAAGCACGGGGCTTCTGCAGTGGATGTTGTTGTTAAGCCGCCTCAACAACCCTCTTCTCCCCTCCTATCCTCTCCTCTCACCCTCTCCCCTGACCCTCTCCTCCTCCCCCTGCTGCTCCTGCAGACCTTCGAGCCAGCCTCAGAGACAATCAAGCACGGGGCTTCTGCAGTGGATGTTGTTGTTAAGCCGCCTCAACAACCCTCTTCTCCCCTCCTATCCTCTCCTCTCACCCTCTCCCCTGACCCTCTCCTCCTCCCCCTGCTGCTCCTGCAGACCTTCGAGCCAGCCTCAGAGACAATCAAGCACGGGGCTTCTGCAGTGGATGCTGTCCGCCTGGTAGAAGAGGTGAGGGGTGTGGGTTGTGGTAGAAAATGTAGGGGTTGACTGGTGAAGGCTGCAACTGTGACAGGTCACCCCACCACAGGCGTCAGCTGATCCTATTTCAGCCTCTCTTTTCCAAACACGGGGCTGCAGTAATGGATGCTGTGCGAATGGAGACGACTTTTAAGGCGCCTCAAAAGTCTTTCCCAAGCACGGGGCTTCTGCAGTGAATGCTGTGCGCCTGGTGGAAGAGGTGAGCGTTCGTTTGTGGGAGAGGTGGGGATTTACTGAGGGAGGTGCGTGGTTTAGTCTCTCTCTTTTCCCTCAAGCACGGGGCTTCTGCAGTGGATGCTGTGCGCCTGGTGGAAGAGGTGAGCGTTCGTTTGTGGGAGAGGTGGGGATTTACTGAGGGAGGTGCGTGGCTTAGTCTCTCTCTTTTCCCTCAAGCACGGGGCTTCTGCAGTGGATGCTGTGCGCCTGGTGGAAGAGGTGAGCGTTCGTTTGTGGGAGAGGTGGGGATTTACTGAGGGAGGTGCGTGGTTTAGTCTCTCTCTTTTCCCTCAAGCACGGGGCTTCTGCAGTGGATGCTGTGCGCCTGGTGGAAGAGGTGAGCGTTCGTTTGTGGGAGAGGTGGGGATTTACTGAGGGAGGTGCGTGGTTTAGTCTCTCTCTTTTCCCTCAAGCACGGGGCTTCTGCAGTGGATGCTGTGCGCCTGGTGGAAGAGGTGAGCGTTCGTTTGTGGGAGAGGTGGGGATTTACTGAGGGAGGTGCGTGGTTTAGTCTCTCTCTTTTCCCTCAAGCACGGGGCTTCTGCAGTGGATGCTGTGCGCCTGGTGGAAGAGGTGAGCGTTCGTTTGTGGGAGAGGTGTGCGTTGGGCGGTGTGGTGGGAGAGGTGGTGTGGTGGTGCTTGCTTACCTTTACAGGCGACAGCTGAGCTTGTGCTGGTTCTGTAATATCCATACCTCAACCACGGGGCGTCAGCAGTGGATGCTATGTGCCTCCCCGCCTGCCCATGCCACAGCAGATGCTCCACTCCACAGCACCGACACCCTCATGACCTCTTACATCCCCAAAATCAAGCTGCCCCAAGCTGCTATGTACTCGCCCCCAGAGACGACCTCAAGCTGCCTCCCTGTCCTCCCTGTCCTCCCTGTCCTCGCTGTCTGTCCTCCCTGTCCTCTCTTACACCCCCTACTGCAGGTTCTAGAGCAGTTCTTTCGTTTGGGTCTGCCTCCCCGCCTGCCCATGCTACAGCAAATCGTCCACAGCACCGATACCCTTATGAGCGCTCATGTTGTCAAGATTGCTGCTCTCGGCCCCAGAGACTGCTGAATGGAGCAGCAACTCGACCTCAAACACACTCTTTTTTCCCCTCCGGCCTCCCTCTACCACACCACAGGTTCTCGAGCAGTTCTTCCGTCTCGGTCTCCCTCCCCGCCTGCCCATGCTACAACAAATCGTGCACAGCACCAACACCCTCATGAGCTCCTATGTGGCCAAGATCGCTGCTCTCGGCCCCAGAGACGACCTCAAGCTGCCTCCGCCGCCCCTCACGCGCTTCAAGGAGGACCTGGCTCAGAGGCTCGCTGATACCTTATGAGCGCCTATGTTACCAACACCTCTCTGCGTGACCTGGCCCAGAGGCTGGCTGATAAGGCGGAGAGACGAACTCAAGCTACCTCCCTGTCTCCCTGTCCCCCTTGTCCTCCCTTGACACCCCCTACCACAGGTGCTAGAGCAGTTTTTCCGGCTCGGCCTCCCTCCCCGCCTGCCCATGCTACAGCAAATCGTCCACAGCACCGACACCCTCATGACCACTTACATCTCCAAGATCGCTGCTCTCGGCCCCAGAGACGACCTCAAGCTGCCTCCGCCGCCCCTCACACGCTTCAAGGAGGACCTGGCCCAGCGGCTCGCTGATAAGGCGGAGAGAAAGGCAGAGAGGGAGGAGCGGGTGCAGAAAGGGAAAGCGGGGTATTTGGAGGGGCTGTGGCATGCGCGGAAGGGTGTGGGAGGTGGGGGTGGGGGAGGGGGAGGGGGAGCGGGAGTGGGAGTGGGAGGGAGAGTTGGGGTGAGGGTGGTTGACGCGGCGAAAGCTGCTGCGATTGATGCGCTGACTGTGAAGAAGCTGTGTGTGCGGATCAACACTCTTGAGGTGAGAATTGAGTTGGGTGCGTTATGGGTGTGTAGAGTTGGGTATGTCACGTCACGTGGCTGCTGGAATTTATGCGCTGCCCGTGCGGAAGCTGTCTGTGCGGATCAACACCCCGGAGGTGAGAGGTTGGGTGTGTTGCTGCGCTGCGCTGATGCGGGCTCAAGAGAGGAAGCCTTTTCAATCATTGCCCTCCCTGTTCTGCGGTTTGATCTCCCTCCTTCTTACACCAGTTCGGGACAGCAGAGCTGAACAAGTCTGAAACCTCTGAGTCTAATTGCACAGCTTCCCACTCCTCTCTTGTACACCAGTTCGTGACAGTAGAGCTCGACAAGTCTGAGAAGGCTCTCTGTGAGCGCTGGGGCGAGTAGGCTCCACACCTCAAGATTGTCCCTCTTCTCCTCCCCTCTCTTCTCTCTCCTCTGCTCTGTGGTTTGCTCCCCCTCCCACTTAACCAGTTTGTGACAGCAGAGGTGGACAAGTCTGAAAGCTCTGAGTCTGACTGCAAAGCTACCCACAAATCTCCTGTACTCTGCTCTATCCTACCTGTTCCCCACACACCAGTCCGTGACAGTAGAGCTCGACAAGTCTGAGAAGGCACTCTGTGAGTGCTGGGACGAGTACGCGCCGCACCCCAATATCATCCGTCTTCTCCTCTCCTCTCCCCTCTCTTCTCCCCTCTTGTTCCGCTGTTTGCTCTTTGTTACCCTCCCACACACCAGTTCGTGACTGTAGAGCTTGACAAGTCTGAGAAGGCTCTTTGTGAACGCTGGGACGAGTACGCGCCGCACCTCAAGATTGATGACATGGCAGGTACGCTGACGTGGCAAACAACTGAGACTACTGACGTGGCACATGAGAATGCTGACATGGCATGTGAACACTGGCCGAGTATATGCCTCCGCTGGTCCTTCGTACTCCTCCTTGGCATCTCCTCTGTCAATGCGGGGACCTTTGAGCCTCTGCTTCTCCCCTTTCGTGTGCCAAGTGTGCTGTAGGCGTCTCAAAACTGTCAGTTTATGACAATCTCTAAGGCGCCTCAAACATCCCCTCATGTGCAAGGTGTGCTTGGGTGCCTACTGAGGCGTCTCAAATCAATCTTCTCTGCTATTGTCTGCGCATGGAATGCTCTTTCTCCCCTCCCCTGTTTGAACCCCCCTCTTTTCCCGCTTACAGCTTTGGCCCCATCCCAGCTAACCTCCTCCCTCGCCTTCCGCCTATCCACTGAGGGTGTTTCTGGGCTCAAGAGAGGAAGCTTCTATGAGCAGACTACCACGCTTGCAGCACAGCGCATGCAGACCTTATCCGACTACCTCGGTGAGTGAGTGTGCGAGTGTGAGTGCGAGTGTGAGTGCGAGTGTGAGTGTGAGTGTGGTGCATGAGTGTGAGCATGTAGCCCCCTATTGAGGTGTCTCAAGAAAGGCCTGTACTGACCACCACGCTTGCAGCACAGCACATGGAGACCCTCTCGCACTACCTCGGGTAGTGCCAAGTTGATCTTGCTTATAACTTTTCTGTCATTTCGATTTTTTCAAATAAAATAATCAGCATCTTACCTTGGCTTGTGGTAATCGGTTTTTTTTTAACTAACGCGGAATTGTTGTTTTGAGCTGTTTTCATGTCTTCCCTCGCCTCGCTCCACACAGGCACCAAGGTGGTGTGGTGGGACCTGAGGGAGGCGTTTCTGGAGGAGCTGTATCGTGTGAGCGTGGACTCGTGCCGCATGAGCAACCTCATGCTCAAGCTCGACCCTGTAAGAGTTTTTGTTCTGTTTTTGTTGTTGTTGTTGTTGTTGTTGTTGTTGTTTTCTTTCTTTCTTTTTTTGTTTGTTTGTTTGTTTGTTTGTTGTTTGTTTTTGTGTTTTTCTTCCGGGATGCTGTGTTGCAGGATGGAGCAATGATCATGTGTGGTGTGAGCCATGCTGATTTAATGTGTGGGTGGGTGGTTTTGGTTCTTGTATCCACTTCCAGGTGTTGGGGGAAATTGTGGAGACCGTCTCAGACTCTCTGAGGGACCGTGTCGTCACCTCTCTCCTGCACTCTGTTCTGGTAATTTGGTTTTTTTTTTTTTTTTTTTTTTTTTGGGTGGGGGGGGGGGGGGGGGGGGAGGTGAGGGGGGATGGGGGGGGGGGGGATGAAAAGGATTTGTTTGTTCTTTCATTTGTGATCATACTTCGGCGATCTATTTTTCATCTTGTCCTATCGTCCCTCTGACTAACGCATGTTCTGATCATTGTTCACTCACTCTGATGTTTGAAACCGCTCGTAAACCCACCCCACTCCACCAGGAGGGTCTGCTGCGTGTGCTTCTGGACGGTGGGCCTCTGAGGGTGTTTGCCCAGTCAGACTACGATGCCCTGGAAGATGACCTCCGCATTCTCAAGGTGAGAGGGGTGATGTCGTGGCATGATGATATGGGATGGCTCAAACAGGCAGATCATGATGTGTGCTTCTGGACGGCGGGCCTCTGAGAGTGTTTGCCCAGTCAGACTACGATGCCCTGGAGGATGACCTCCGTATTCTCAAGGTGATTCCCCATAATTTCCAGAATAGTTTCACATCTCTGGGAATTTATGGCATGGCATGGAGTTGAATGGCACGGAATAATATGAGAAGCTCACCTCATATGACATGGCGTGGCATGGCATCATGCATGATCGTGCCCTGATATGGACATGACACATGATATACATTGCATGATATGGTATTCTTTCCGCCCCCCTTCCGCCTCCCTTTTGCCCCTCCACCCTTTCCATTTTATGACCTGGCATGGCGTGGCATGGCATAATGCATGATCGTGCCCTGATTTGGACATGACACATAATATACATTACATGATACGATATCCTTTCCCCCTCCCCCCTTCTGTCTCCCCCTTGGCCTCCCCCCCTTCCCCCTCCCCCTTTTCACTTTCCCTTTCCCCATTTCCCGTCCCCCAGGAGTTCTTTGTGGCGAATGGCAATGGCTTGCCACAGGAGGTGGTGAACAAGGCAGCAGCTCAGGTGCAGCAAGTGCTTAACTACTACTCCCTCGATGTGAGTGTTTTATAATGCATTTGTACTGTATTTGCATGTTCGTAACACACTTTTACTTTATTTTGTAAGGTATTTTTCATGGCCCCCTTCCACTCTACAACCGCCTGTTTTAATGAACCTAGCCTCAACTTAATATATTGCTGTCAATACCCCACGTGTTCTTCCAACTACCGCATCGTCCTCCCCTTTCCAGACTGCTGACGTCATTATCGTTTACAAGCAAGCAGCGGGAGCCAGTCAAGCGGCAGGTGGTGCGTTCCGGGCGTCTTCATTTGTGAAGGGTGGAGGCGCAGGGCTCACTGGGCACGATGCACATGTGCTTCTGCGTGTGCTTTGTCATAGGGCGGATCGGGAAGCTTCCAAGTTCCTAAAAAAGAACATGCACTTGCCAAAGTCATAGTATTTAGAAAACCATTGAGGATTATATAAGTATATAGGTATACTGGGCATAATATAGAGATTGCCCTTTACTATTACCACGGGCTAGTGTTTTACATGTACCTAAATCGCTGTCATTGCTTGTTTTGTGTTAGCGCAATCGTGCACGACCCACGTTTCCATCGCCCTTGGAACTCACTGCGCACGTGGCTTTGCCCGACGCTGCCATGTAAGCGGGAGAATGCCACGCGACAGTACATCCCCACTCTCATGTCATGGATAGACGGAATCCGTCATGTTTTACCAGAACTAGCTTGTGCAGCTGCCGTGTCATGATGCGGTGGAAAAATAGTCCGGTGCGCTGCAGTAGGTTTTGGTACGGTATGGAGCGGCATATATAAACACCCCTTTGAAACGCTACGCACCAAACATAACCGTGGTTCATGACTTGCATGAACACCCTCGATAACATCCGAGGTTTGCTACTCCAGTTCTCTTTTACCTGCTTGAGAAGCAAGCAAGCCGCTGACTCGTCAGTCAGGGTCAGGATCGACGACTAAGCTTGCCAAATAGCTGCTCAGCTATTCCTCTTGTCAGAGTCTCTAAGCTTGTTAAACAGCTGCGTTATAAGCAGTCTCGTTGCCATTTTGCACGCGGCATCGTAGCATGGCTTCCTCGTCGTCCTTCACCGGACGGCTGCAGCTGTCGACCGTCGCGCGGTCGGCTCCTGCTGCTTCACCCGCGTCCGCCGCAGGCTCGCTCCGGCAACAACCTGCTGCTGCTGCTGGATCGCACGTCCATTCCGCTCGCTGCTCGCATGAACCTGGTGAGCGTCGCACTTGGAACGTCGCACGTCGCACGTCGCGCGTCGCACATGCTGATCGCCGCTTTTCACGCTGCACGTGCCATTAGCAGCGACGAAAGATGCTGTTCGCGTTGAGACTGAGAACCTGCCTTTCCTCGGCGCTGTCGCATCGTCTATCTCTGGTCTAAACGTTGAAGAGAAGAAGAAACGAAATTGGTCATATTTTTCGGTTACGCTTCCACGCACTCGCCTGCAGTTCCTAGGTTGCTAGATTTGAAAGATGACTCGTCATCAAGCCTCTCGCCGATCTTTCAGGCGGCTTAAAAAACTCTCTTATGTGCCTCTTCTTACCTAGTTCAGCTCGTTCGTCTACTTGCGATCGGCGATTGCTGTTTTTTAGCTGCTGTTCGTCTTCTGAACCCTACGCAATTAGCCAATCAGGATCTGTCCAGGGATGTTGCACCGAGCAGCCGATTTGTTCAGAAAGGTTGCTCAGCCGATCTTACAGTACAGAGCTCACCCTCCTTTTTCACCGCATATTCCTCCCGCCACAGATAATGCGAATGCCAGCACGGAACAGCCGAAAGATGTTCCTAGCACCACCAGCAGCAGCAGCAGCCGTCGGCAGTTGTTGTGCGGAGCGTGCGGAACGGCGGTGGCAGCGGCAGTGGCAGCGGTGTCAGGCGACGCGAGGGCGGAGATAATTCCCGCTCCTCCCTCCAACTCCTCCGTCTGCCGCAATTGCCAGGGCGCCGGCGCTGTTGTCTGTAAGTGTGGATTGGCAGTACCATTGGCGGCAGTGTGGGGTGTTGCTTGATCAGAGATATTTCCCGCGCCTCCCTCCAACTCCTCCGTCTGCCGCAACTGCCAGGGCGCCGGCGCTGTTGTCTGTGGGTGTTCTCCTATTGATGCTTCTCATATCTTTCTCGGATAGCATTCGTTGTTTAGGTAATAAGCAGTACCAGTGGTAGCAGCAGCAGTGCTGGCGGCAGTACGGGGTGATTCTAGAGCTGAGATGCTAGCAGCAGTGGCAGCGGCGGTGGCGGCGGTGTCAGGTGACGCGAGGGCGGAGATCATTCCCGCTCCTCCCTCCAACTCCTCCGTCTGCCGCAACTGCCAGGGCGCCGGCGCTGTTGCCTGCAAGTGCGGATTGGCAGCACCATTGGCGGCAGTGTGGGGTGTTGCTTTATCAGAAATTCTCCCCTCTCCTCCCTCCAACTCATCCATCTGCCGCAACTGCCAGGGCGCTGGCGCTGTTGTCTGTAAGTGCTCACCTGTCGATACTTCTCAGGTAGCCATCCTTGTTTGGGTAATAAGCAGCAGCAATGACAGCAGCAGTGGCATTGACAGCACCAGTGGAGGCAGTATGGGGTGTTTCTAGGGCGGAGATGCTAGCAACAGCAACAATGGCAGCAGCAGGGACAGTTGTGGCCGCAATCGCAACAGCATCCCCTCTTAGGCATGTTTCACCTCATACCATTACCCTACTCACCTCATACCATCACCCTACCTACCTCTTCCCCGCTGCTACTCTCACCCTACCTCTTTCCTCCATCTCATGCATTTCACCGTCACTTGGCAGTTCTCCACCACTCTCCTTCTTCCTCTTCAAGCCTCAGTACCCACCCCCTACCTTCCCCCGTCCCCTCCCCTTCCCCCTCACCTCCTCGTCCCCCTTATCCCCATCCCCAGTTTTTTCCCATCCGTGCCGCCCTTCTCTCAACCACCACGCCCTTTTTCTACCCTAAAATTCCGGGCGCGCCTCTACAAGCGACTTCTGAGACACCTTATGACGCCATATGCATGTCATGCCACCCTTCTCTCAGCCTCTGTAGCCACTTTCCACCAGATCAGTGACTTCACTGTGTAACCCCTATGTGTGAGCCGCCTCTGAAATAAGAAAATTGTTACTTGTTTTGTAACACGGTAACACCTATCTCCAGCGTGTTGCGGGTGAGAGTGTACAGAAACGACTTGCCGGGAAAATTTGTGCTTCGAGATACTTGCAACTTTACTCCAAGGCACCTCAATCGATCCTTGGAGAACCTCAAAACCCGTCTGAATCCCTCGTATCACTTCTCTGTGCTGCAGGTGACCTGTGTGGTGACACTGGCGAGTGTAGGGTTTGTGACTCAAAGTCACCTTTTTTAACCCGTTGCTCTCTTCTCTCTATCCTGCAGGCGACATGTGTGGTGGTACGGGTAAGTGGAAGGCGCTGAACCGCAAAAGAGCCAAGGACACGTACGAATTCACCGAATGCCCCAACTGCTACGGTAAGATGCTGCATTATTTTGTTTTATGAGAGTTTGAGTGGTGGGTTGAGTCGATTATATCTGCGCAGTATCCTGCACAGAATGCGCGTGGAGAAGAGAAGCAATTTCTGGGTAGATTCATGTGATTTGAACCACAGAGAACAGAAGGTTTCATGAACCTGACCTGGTGCCTCACTATTCACATCACTGTGATTGCTCAGGTCGAGGCAAGCTGGTATGCCCGGTGTGTCTGGGCACGGGAGTTGGGAACGCCAAGGGTTTGCTGCGGCGGCCCGAGGCGAAGCAACTGCTGGATCAGATGTACCACGGCCGCCTGCTGCCCCCCTCCTAGGCAATGTCCCGCTTCTCCCATCCTAGGCAGGACAAAAACATTTGGTTCATTGTTAGCATTGAATTCATGTTCAAGTGTGGTGATAGTGAAACGTGTCACACGATTCAGCTGTATAAGATAATATGAACTTGATTAAATTAGTCTAACTCGTCTGTAATGTGCTATCTGCGTTCTGCTAACTTACGGCTACAACAGGGTGTGAATAGTTTGGTGTCATCAGCAGTAGAGTATAGTCAGAAAGAGTTGAATACACGTAATTTTCTGTAGTTTACCCAGCACCGCTAACGAGTTTGTGGTTGTCTGATATCCTCGATTTAATTATACCTGCTCATGGTATCTTGCCGCACCTCCATGGATGGAGACCATACCTGCACCAGGCCATTGTCGCGCCTCGTCTTGGCCGAAGGATGACGTGGACTGACGCACTGAACCGACACCTTCTGTGGGCCTTCCAGAAGCAGCTCCCGTTTTGGGGGGATGCATAAGTGCGAGAATTGGACGCGGGGCATCGACTGACGTGGACGAAATTTGTGATCCAAGGCCGATCAGGCTCGGACACAAATGGCACGAGTGCCACGCGGCGAAGGGATGTGGTGCGGATGGAGCAGCCCATTCTCCCTAGACCTCCGTACAGTTTGTGTGGAGGTCACAGTTCTCGGAAAGGCGAACTCTTACCTCAGAGACATTCTTCGGTCAACTGTCTGCTTCAACCCACTAAATCAGGGATTTGTTTCTTGAAAACAAACTAAGCACCAGAGATAGTGGCAGCTGACAGGAAGACGGAATACAGCTCGAGGGTCAGCCCCATTCCAACCTGTTCCTGCTTCAACCTCGAGATTTCCACTTCCGTTTTCTCTCAGCTTCTCCTGCAATACGTTTTTCTGTGGAGACTGCTTCAAAAGACATTCGTCATTTTCTCTGTTGTCTCTCAGGAGCCGCCGTCGCTTGCGTTTCTGCAGCTGAAGCAAGCAAGTATTAGCTGCCTCAAACCAAGTACATCAGGTTCTTAACCGTTCTCCCTCGCTTCCAGCGGACTCTCTTCTGAACGACAATGCCGTCACACCACGCCCTTGCCCGAGGGCCTGTCGCCACGAATGCGTCTGCTTTGCAGCAGGCGCTTCGTCGGACCGAGGCTTCCCAACTCAGGCCGAACACGCAATCCTTAACCGTTCGTGGCTTGAGCCAATCAGGGAAGCTGAGATACAACAGATTAAGGAGTGTTCAGAGCCTCGCTGGGACCCGATTGGTCGATTTCAATTCTGTCGTCGCGAAACCGACGCAAACTCGGAGAGTGACGTCAGCGGTGGCGACGACTGATGCCTCGACGACGACTGCAGGCGATAGCACAGGTACGTCTCAAAGCACAGCAATTTGTGTGTAACAATAACGCAAGAGCGTTTTCCCGTATGCCAGTTGATCCGGTATGGCATTCATCCTTGTGAACATCGTTCCCACTCCTTACGTCCATTTAGGCAACATTTTCGTCTCTTTGATTAAAACTAAATGTGCTAAGCCTTCTAAAGTCTTCTCAATAACGCTCGCAGCCGTTTTCAGCTAACCTTTTCGAGACTCGTCTAATCTCCTGGCTATTGCGCTTTCGCTTCTGGATTCTTGTTTCACGAAAACCTTCGTGTCTGTTGTCTGTGAAAGCGACCTTCGAGAATCTGGTCCTTATCGGCTCGTGTCCGATCCGAATCACCGGCCTTTTTTTGCCTTCAACTTCCTCAGCTTGGGTTACACGGCCTTCCATTTTCTTCAGCGATTCCTGCTTCCTCTCTTCCCCCGTTCTTACACACTCCTCTAACCTCCTTCAGTGGAGACAACCGTTGAGAATCCGGTGATCATTGGATCAGGCCCGGCCGGATACCACCTCGCATTATCCTAAACTTTCTCTGCTATATATTTTTTTCTTCCCTCTCACAACCCCTCAATCACTCTCAGTGGAGACGACCGTTGAGAATCTGGTGATCATCGGCTCAGGCCCGGCCGGATACACAGCCGCGATCTATGCTGCGCGGGCGAATCTGAAGCCGGTGCTGTTCGAGGGCGTGCAGGCCGGCGGAGTTCCCGGAGGGCAGCTCATGACCACCACGGAGGTCGAGAACTTCCCGGGATTCCCGGAGGGAATCACGGGCCCCGACCTCATGATCAGGTGCGTATCTCGAAAATTTGCGCTTGATAAGGGTCGAATGGGAATCACCGAAACCTATTTCATTATCAGACGTGTTTATTTTCAGAGTTTTGCGTTTGAAAAGGCCCGAAATGCAACTATCGACTGGCCGTCAGCGCTGTTGCCCGGGCGAGTCGACAGAATAAAGGACGGACAGTAAGGATTGAAGGGGCAAGCAAAGCAGCAAGCGGAATGCTGAAACGAAGAAACACACATTGACTGAGTCGACTCGAGAATAGGCGGAGCGGTGGGGAGCGGAGCTGCACACAGAAGACGTGGAGTATGTGGACTTGCAGACCCGCCCCTTCACAGTGCGCAGCAGCGACCGGGAGGTGCGCTGCCACAGCGTCATCATCGCCACGGGCGCCTCATTGTACTCTCCCTCCCCCGTTCCTCCCCGTTCCCCTTTTCCCCGTCGACCTTCCCCGTTCCCAAATCCCCCAGAATGAAGCAGCAGGCGGAGCGGTGGGGAGCGGAGCTCCATACCGAAGACGTAGAATACGTGGACTTGCAGACCCGCCCCTTCACAGTGCGCAGCAGCGACCGCGAGTTGCGCTGCCACAGCGTCATCATCGCCACGGGCGCCACTGCGCGCCGATTGGGCCTCCCCAGCGAGAGAGAGTACTGGTCGCGAGGCATCTCCGCGTGTGCTATTTGCGACGGCGCGAGCCCGATTTTCAAGGGGCAGGAGCTGGCAGTGGTGGGAGGAGGGGATACTGCGGTGGAGGAGGCGCTTTACTTAACTAAGTACGCTAAGCACGTGCATCTGCTGGTGCGGAGGGACGTGTTAAGAGCCAGCAAGGCGATGCAGGACCGCGTGTTTAAGAACCCGAACGTGACTGTCCACCTGAACACGATCCCTGTAGACGTGGTTGGGAACGACAAGGGGCAGATGGCTGGTATGAACGTGAAAGACGCGCAGACAGGGCAGGAGAGGATTATTCCGGTGAAGGGGCTGTTCTATGGGATCGGGCACAAGCCGAATAGTGATCTGCTGGCGGGGCAGGTGGAGCTGGATGGGAGCGGGTATGTGGTCGTGAAGGACAATGCCGTCGAGACGTCTGTTCCCGGCGTGTTCGCTGCTGGAGATTTGAAGGTGAGCCTCTTCTTGACTCCTTTTCAAGGTACCTCTGTCGCTAGGGTGCGTGGCCTCAATTCGGGGCAGGTGGAGCTGGATGGGAGCGGGTATGTGGTGGTGAAGGACAACGCGGTTGAGACGTCCGTGCCTGGCGTGTTCGCTGCTGGCGATCTCAAGGTGAACCTCTTGGCCTCTTTACTTCCCCCTCTGCCAGTAGGGCATTCCAGGTGGGGCTAGGGTGCTTGGCCTCCGCTCGGGGCAGGTGGAGCTGGATGGGAGCGGGTATGTGGTGGTGAAGGACAACGCCGTTGAGACGTCTGTTCCTGGCGTGTTCGCTGCTGGCGATCTCAAGGTGAGATCAGGTCCCCTCATTAAGGTGCCTTTTGGCTCCTGCCTGCCCCAAGGTAAGTGCGAGCCTCGGGCGGGGCAGGTGGAGCTGGATGGGAGCGGGTATGTGGTGGTGAAAGACAATGCCGTGGAGAGTGCTTGGCTGGTCGCAAGCGGGTTTATGGCTGTCTTGGTGAGGGTTTCTTACTTCATTTTCATGCAATCGTGCTCATGAAGCGAACTGTTTTTCAATTACCCTCTGGCACCTGCCAATGCCTCCATCTCACTCTCACTTGTTCAGGACCACGAGTGGCGGCAGGCCATCACAGCAGCAGCGTCGGGGTGCATGGCAGCACTGTCAGTGGAGCGATACCTCACAGCCAACGACCTGCTCATCGAGTTCCACCAGGTGAGACATGTGGTGCTGTAGGTGCTGGAAACAGCAATATGGTCACACAAGGAAGAGCAGCAATGGTGACAGCAGCAGCAGCAGTAACAGCAGCACAGCAGCGTCGGGGTGCATGGTAGCGCTGTCAGTGGAGCGATACCTCACTGCCAACGACCTTCCCAGGTGGTACGTAGATGTGCTGAATATGGCCCTGCACGAACCACTGCTTACACACTCGTTCTTCTCACCCTCCCCCACCCAACCCCCCTACCCATGTGTTCCCTTCCCTCTGTTGCGAGCAGAAGGAGGTGGAGGTGGTGGAGAAGAAGGAGCTCACAGAGGAGGATGTGGATGAGAGGTTCGACCCATCTGGATCCCTCTCACACCCACCATTACCCCCCGATCCCCTTTGGGTCTGTCTGTGTGTGTTCTTCTTGTGAGCAGAAGGAGGTGGAGGTGGTGGAGAAGAAGGAGCTGACAGAGGAGGACGTGGAGGAGAGATTCGACCCGCTGCTGACGCGCCACAAGGGGCAGTACGCCCTGCGCAAGCTCTACCACGAGTCTCCTCGCTTGATCGGCGTCATCTACACTTCGCCCACCTGTGGGCCTTGCAGGACGCTCAAGCCCATGCTTGCTAAGGTAAGCGTCTCGGGGTTGATTTTGGGGTTCTCCCAGTATTCCTCGTTGCTGCTGACGCGTCACAAGGGGCAGTACGCACTGCGCAAGCTCTACCACGAGTCTTCTCGCCTCATTGTGGTGATTTACACTTCGCCCACCTGTGGGCCCTGCAGGACGCTCAATCCCATGCTCGCTAAGGTATGTGGGGGTAGAGTAGATTCCGGGCCAGTTTTCCTCATTGCTCACAAGGTACAATGGTCAGTACGGTCTGCGCTTGCTTCTGTGGTGGAAACTTTTTGCTGTCAGATTCGCTCGGTGGAAATTGACATCGAGGAGGACCCTGAGATTCGTGCTACCTTGCACTGCCCCATTGCTTGACTCATGTTGACTTGCGCTGACTTGCGTTGACTTACAGGTGGTGGAGGAGTTTGACCGTCAGATCCACTGGGTGGAGATTGACATTGAGGAGGACCCTGAGATTGCCGAGGCGGCAGGGATCATGGGCACGCCTGTGGTTCACTTCTTCAAGAACAAGGAGAAGATTGAGTGAGTGCTTCTACCTGTACATAGCCGTGTCTCTCTGATTAGCCTGGTCTGCTGGAGCCAAAGTGGAGCTGTGAGGTGCCTCACAGTCGCAGCAGGGATCATGGGCACGCCTGTGGTTCATTTCTTCAAGAACAAGGAGAAGATCAAGTGAGTGAATGGCTGATGCTTTGGTCTGGTGGTTTTTGGTCCTACTTAGTATTCCACGGAAATGAGCTGTGACAGGGATCATGGGCACGCCTGTTTTGAGTCGATTCAAAACATGCTTTGGTCTGGTGGTTCTGGTCTGACTTAGTATTCCATGGAAATGAGCTGTGACAGGGATCATGAGCACGCCTGTTTTGAGTCGATTCAAAACATGCTTTGGTCTGGTGGTTCTGGTCTGACTTAGTATTCCATGGAAATGAGCTGTGACAGGGATCATGGGCACGCCTGTTTTGAGTCGATTCAAAACATGCTTTGGTCTGGTGGTTCTGGTCTGACTTAGTATTCCATGGAAATGAGCTGTGACAGGGATCATGGGCACGCCTGTTTTGAGTCGATTCAAAACATGCTTTGGTCTGGTGGTTCTGGTCTGACTTAGTATTCCATGGAAATGAGCTGTGACAGGGATCATGGGCACGCCTGTTTTGAGTCGATTCAAAACATGCTTTGGTCTGGTGGTTCTGGTCTGACTTAGTATTCCATGGAAATGAGCTGTGACAGGGATCATGAGCACGCCTGTTTTGAGTCGATTCAAAACATGCTTTGGTCTGGTGGTTCTGGTCTGACTTAGTATTCCATGGAAATGAGCTGTGACAGGGATCATGGGCACGCCTGTTTTGAGTCGACTCAAAACATGCTTTGGTCTGGTGGTTCTGGTCTGACTTAGTATTCCATGGAAATGAGCTGTGACAGGGATCATGAGCACGCCTGTTTTGAGTCGATTCAAAACATGCTTTGGTCTGGTGGTTCTGGTCTGACTTAGTATTCCATGGAAATGAGCTGTGACAGGGATCATGGGCACGCCTGTTTTGAGTCGATTCAAAACATGCTTTGGTCTGGTGGTTCTGGTCTGACTTAGTATTCCATGGAAATGAGCTGTGACAGGGATCATGGGCACGCCTGTTTTGAGTCGATTCAAAACATGCTTTGGTCTGGTGGTTCTGGTCTGACTTAGTATTCCATGGAAATGAGCTGTGACAGGGATCATGAGCACGCCTGTTTTGAGTCGATTCAAAACATGCTTTAGTCTGGTGGTTCTGGTCTGACTTAGTATTCCATGGAAATGAGCTGTGACAGGGATCATGGGCACGCCTGTGGTTCACTTCTTCAAGAACAAGGAGAAGATGGAGTGCGTGTGATGAGTGTGATTATTGATGGCTTGGTCCTTACTTTGAGACCCTTCTCGAACTGATAGTGGGTGCTTGTCTGCCTGTATATAGTCTTGTCGTCTCGAGTAAATCACTCGTGGACTTGGATCACTCATCCTTTCTTGCTTGCTACCACAACAATATCAGCCCTTCCTCTTCCCTGCTTGACTGCCCGTCCCTCCCCTCCTCCAGTGAGATCAAGGGTGTGAAGATGAAGAGAGTCTACCGGGAATTCATCGAGACACATGTGTAACGCGTTTCTGCATATCTGGAAGAGGAAACGCCCACCAGCAATCGCACATAGCACATGTATATGTGCAATCGCGGGAGAGAATTCCCTAGTGAGAACTAGAATAACTAGGCCTGAGAAAGAGCAGCGCATGTACGCACTCCACACCACCCACCCCCTCCCAATCGATTCCAACCGCTCCCAAAACCATTCCAACCACATCAACCATCCCAACCCATCCCAACCGATCACTGCTTAACCTCTCCCTACCAACCCCAGCCTATCCCATCCAAGCACAGCCAATCTTACGTGGAATGATTAGGATGTAACATTGGAGTAAGGTGTATTGCTATAGTATCCATATGCCTAGCAATTGTGTGATGTAACTAATATTGTTGTGAGTGCTTGAAAGTGTAGTGTGGTGTACAATATGGAACCATATGTTTCACCGCAGAAGCGGACACTGTGTGCACAACGATCAGTGCGTTTAATCACAGCAATCTATTATCCTTCTGAATCGATGACAAAGAATGAATGAAATTATGGCTTGCCGTACAAATATACCTGCCAGCCACCACAACTTGCCTTTAAAAGACCAGTGCTTCATAATACTCTACACCACAAGCCAGACAGAAGGATATACTGTAGTTCCTTTCTACCTAGTCTTTGCATAGACAAGCAGTCCACTCCATTCCACCCAATCCCATAATTGCCGGAAAGGAGGGAATTACAGTACTTTCTTGATTAAGTGCCTGAATGCGCCACATTATTCCCAATGCGTTCGATTATTCAGGGTCCCTTGGGTCATATTCCTCGTGCCAGGTCAGCATCATCATCGTTGTCAGGGATTCTCTGACCAATCACCTGCGCCCGGCTGACATCAGCAACTCCAGAGAGGATTTCATCCACAAAGGATGATCCTGCCCTTGCTGCTCGTGACTGCTGGTGCTGGTGGTACTGCAGGGAAGAGCGATGATACTGTTCTCTGCTGCTGCTGGCCCCTGCTCTTCCTCCCAAGCCTCCTGCTCCTGCCATCCCGGGCCTCGCACTGACACTCGGGGGACGTGTGGCCCGGACCAACGGCACAGGTTCGGTGAGAACTTGCTTAGTGCCTGCACTCTTACCCCCGTCCAACCCAGCCCCACCCCCCCAGTCCAAACCACTCTCCCTCTCCATTCCACCTAATCCTCCCACACCCCCTACCCCTCCCCTTTCCCCTCTCTCCCCTCCTCCTCCCCCTCCTCTCCCCCCTGCCCCTCTCTTACCCCCAACCACGGCCTCCCAGTCAAGCCCCAGATTTCCAGAAGAGCTGGTCCGGTAAGCTCTTTTGGACTGTAGCAGGCCTCCAGCTGGCATCTCCGCTGCTGCTGCTTCCCTCTGCCGCTTGCGACTCTCAGCTGTTGACACTGGTGCTGGTGCTGGTGCTGGTGCTGGTATTCGTGTGCCTGATGGTGCGGCAGCAATACCAGCACCAGCCGCACCAGCAGAAGCAACAGTCGCTTTGCTTTTCTGCACCAGATTAGCCCACTTGGAAGGAGCATCACGGGGCGAATAACCTTGATGTTTTTGCTGGTGCTGCTGTTGATGATGCTGCTGCTGCTGCTGGTACTGCTGCTGGTGCTGCTGCTGCTTCTGCTGGTTAGAGGAAGAAACATTCCGCTGCTGCTGTGTGCAGGTGTGTCTCAGAGGAACATCACAAGAGCTGTTTTTTTCTCCTTCCCTTGCACTCTCCCTCTCCCTATCTCTTGATCCCGACCTACTTCTTTCCCGCATTCTCTCCCGTCCCCTCTCCCTTTCTCTGTCTTTCTCTCTCGTCCTCTCCCTATCTCCTTCCCTCCCCCTCTCCCCTCCTCTCCCCTCTCTCATCCTCATCTCCCTCCTCCGTCTCTCAGCCTCCCTCTTCACCCCACTCAACCCGTGTCTCCTATCCCCTTCCCTCTTCACACACCACATAAAGAACCCCTTCTCACCGTTCTGAATCCACACATTCGTCCTCAGATCCTTTACCACCTCTGGAATGTCAAACACTGGTCTCACTCTTTGCTCCCTTTGCTCTGGTACCCTGCCAGGCTCCCTCTCCCTGCTCCCTTCCCTAGCTTTAACTCTTTCCCTTTCTCTGTCCCTTTCCCTCTGCATTTCCCTGTCTCTTGCCCTGTCCCTATCACTATCTCTACCTCTATCCCTGTCTCTATCTCTATCACTGTCCTTATCCCTGCCCCTGTCCCTGTCTCTGTCCTTCTCTCTTTCCTGCTCCCTGTCCCGGCTCCTTCCTCTGTCCATACTCCTTCCCCTCTCCTTGTCTAATTCTCTTTCCCTGTCCCTCATCCTATTTCTTTCCCCACCTCCCGCTGCTTCCCTTAGTACTGCCCCGTCCCCATCCCCTATCTCCCTCTCCCTTTTCCCCAATCCCTCCACATTCTGAATCTCCTCAGTCGGTCTCGTCCCATGCTCCCTCCCCTCAGCCTCTCTCATCTCTCCTTCTCCCTTCCTTAGCACTGCTCCATCCTCTCTCTCCCTTGGTCCTGCTGCTGCTTCAGGCACCTTCTTCTCACGAGACTCTAGCACCACCTCCTCTCGGCTTCCATCCTTGTGCTTCGAGCCTGCTGCCTCATGCATGTGTGCCTTTTCTGCTGCTTGTACTGGCAAACTCGCTTGTTCCTTTACCCTAGCTTTCGCCTCTGCTGCTGCTTTCGCCTGTGCTGCTGCTTTCGCATCGGCTGCTGCTTTCGCATCGGCTGCTGCTTTCGCCTGTGCTACTGCTTTCGCATCGGCTGCTGCTTTCGCCTCTGCTACTGCTTTCGCCTCTGCTGCTGCTTTCGCCTCTGCTGCTGCTTTCGCCTCTGCTGCTACTTTCGCCTCTGTTGCTTCTGCCCCTGTTGCTGCTGCATCCCCTGGTGCTTGCATTGGTGCCCTTGCCTCCTTCGGCCTCTCCTCTCTTGCTCTTTCATCCCTCACTTTCTCCTCCCTCTCTCTCTCCTCCTTCCTTCTCTCCTCTCTTGCTTTCTCCTCCCTCACTCTCTCTTCTCTTGCTTTATCCTCCTTCACTCTCTCCTCTCTTGCTTTCTCCCCCCTCACTCTCTCCTCTCTAACTCTCTCCAGCCTCACTCTCTCCTCCCTTTCACCTCTCCCACTCCTCTCCTCCCTTTCATCTCCCCCACTTCTCCCCTCCCCTCCTTGTCTCCTCTCCCCTTCCTCTCCACGTCCCCTCCCTCCCTCCTCTCCACCACCTCTCTCCCGCTCAGGCAGAAACCTCAAATCAGCCCTCTCTCCCCTCACCAACCCTTCCCTATAAGGCCTTCTCACCCCAAAAACCACCCCTCTGTCCCTCGCATCGCAGAGCAGAGCACACCACGGCTTGCTCTGAGCCAACGTGGCCGCATTTCCCACAATCCACAGCGCTTTTCTCGCTCGAGTCAACGCCACGTTCATCCGCCGTTCATCCGCCACGAATCCGACGGTCCTCCTCTCTTCCCTTGACGGCCGATCATTGCCGGCCGCTTTTCCAAGCAGAGAAGAGGACGGGTGGGTGGAGGAATGGTGGGACGATGCATGGTGGGTGGAGCGGTGGGAGGAGGAAGGATGGGAGGAAAAGGGAGGATGGAAAGAGGAGGAATGGAAAGAGGCGGAAAGGGCAGAAGGAGAGGCACGGACGGTGGAGAAGAGGAGGATATCAACCTCCCTGCCCTGAAACCCGTCGACTGTATTAAATTCCACGTCTGCTGCAGCCCCGCGCCCCAGGGCTCGGCTAAAAGTGTCTCTTAGAAGGAAGAGCTGCTGCTTGTAGGGGGTGATTACACCTACCCTGCCTGGTGCGCACTCCTCTGGAAACCTGGAATGGAGGGAAGGCGACATGGAGGGAAGGGGAGGGGAGAAAGGAGGGAGGGAAGGGGAGAGGTGAAGGGGGAAGGAGAGGCACGGACGGTGGAGAAGAGGAGAGTATCCACCTCCCCGCCCTGAAAGCCGTCCACTGTGTTCACTTCCACTAGCATGCCTCATCCCATCCTCCACGCATCAAGCACTGCGTATGGGAGAACCAAGTCCACACCAGCAATCTCTGGTCTGAACACGTGCTTACCGTTACTGCAGCAGGCGATAGGGCTGCAAGGGCTGCTGTCGCTTCAGCCTCGTTGCAGAGAGAAGGGGCACCTGCCGGCCCCCTCGTCCTCTCCACCCCATCCTCCACATCAAATACAGCATATGGGAGCAGTGCGACAACAACAGCAACCTGGACACACACATACCGTTGCTGCAGCAGTCGGTACAGCTCCAGAGCAGCCGTCGCTTCCGCCTCAATGCAGAGAGAAGGTGCTCCTGCCGGGCCTCTCGTCCTCTCCACCCCATCCTCCACATCAAACACACACAGGGTACGGAAACAGCATAACCACTCCAGAAACTGTATGGACACACACTTACCGTTGCTGCAGCAGCTGATACAGCTCCAGAGCAGCCATTGCTTCCGCCTCGTTGCAGAGAGAAGGTGCACCTGCCGACCCCCTAGTCCTCTCCACCCCATCCTCCACATCAAATACACAGTATGGAAGCAGCGGGGCTGTTGACCCCACACTGTGCTGCTGCTGCCTGTGCACTTCTGCGTCCCACCTCATCTTCCACATCAAACACAGAGAGCATGGAAGCAACTCCCTCAGGCAGTGCCATACAAACAGTCTAGCCTTCAGAGTACTCACCGTTGCTTGAGCAGAGAGCAGCCGTTGCTTCAGCCTCGTTGCACAAAGTAGGGGCGCCTGCCGATTTTCTCGTCCTCTCCACCCCATCCTCCACATCAAACACCGCGTACGGGAGCCACGTGACCATACCAGCAACCTCTGAGCAGAAACTCACCGTTGCTGCAGCAGCCGGTACAACTCCAGAGCAGCCGTTGCTTCAGCCTCGTTGCACAAAGAAGGGGCTCCTGCTGGCCCTCTCGTCCTCTCCACCCCATCCTCCACATCAAATACACAGTATGGAAGCAGCGGGGCTGTTGACCCCACACTGTGCTGCTGCTGCTCAGCCTGTAACGAATCAGACTGTAACGAGGAAGGCGAGGGGTAATTGGATGATAAGGCTTGGAAGGGGTAGGACCAGGAGGGGGCGGTGACACAGGGAGCATCAGAGAGAAGGGACTGGTAGAAGAAGGAGGAGGGGAAGCGGGAGATGTGGGGGTTCATGCGGTACTGTGTGGACAGCATGGTAACAGGGTAACCAGACGTCTGTAGGCGCTCGAAGAGCGAGCGCTCGTAGCGAAGGTTGGATGCGGTACGAGAGAGGACTGTTGCTGGCAGCTGCTTGGGGTCGCCCACCTGGTGGAGAGAGGTGAAGAGGGGTAGAAATGGGTGGAGAGTGAATGGGAATGAGTATAGAGCAGTGAAGGGGGGTGGGTGGAAGGAGAGGTACAAGAATGGTTGCTAATTCGGCAAAAATGAAACCAAGTCAAACCTCACCATGATGCATCGGCTGCTGATTCGACTGAGCAGCTGGAGGGGAATGAGTGTGGCGGGCTCCAAGGCCTGAGCAGCCTCATCGATCACCACCGCATCAAACAACCCCTCCATCCACGACGGCAGCAACCCACCTGACCCTCCACCTGAAAAACCACCTGAAGCTCCTCCTCTCACTCCTCCCCCCATACCTCCTCCCCATCCCCTCCCCCTCGCTCCAAGAACCCCCCCTCCCATCCCCCCACTCCCCCCAAACCTCCCACCGCCAGCACCACCACCAATCCCATCCGCGCCACCTCCCCCTCTCCCACCCTTCTCCCCTGCCCCCTCCCAACATGCTGTAAACACGTCCCCTCCACACGCATTCAATGTAGTCACAACCACTTCCGCCTCTCTTATAATCTCTTTTTTCACCGCTGCCCGGCGCGCTTTATCCTCTTCCGCAGCTGCCCGCCGCTCCTTCTCAGCTGCTGCCAGGTCAGCCGAAATCTCCCGCTTCTTCCAATATAGCAGATTAAGCCTCGCTTTAATCGTCTCCTCCCCGTGCGATATAATCTCCTCTGCTATTTCCTCTGCCGTTTTCTCCTCCTCTCCCCCTCCCCTTCCACCCTCCCGTCTCCTCTCCCTCGCACCACCACCCTTCCCTCCATCTCCCTCCTCCGCTCTTCCCTCCTCCCCACCCTCCCCACCCTCCCCATCCTCCCCTGAGCGTTTCTTGCATCTAAGTGCCTCTACTGCTCTGATCACCTCAAAGGCCCGTTCCAACTGCTGCCTCAACTGCGCCACTCTTTCTCTCACAGCACTCTCAGTTCCCAAACCACCACTCGCACCACCACCACCAGCACCAGCACCAGCACCAGCAGCAGCAGCAGCAGCAGCAGCAGTGCCACTGCCTGTGCCCCCACGAGTGCCAGCACCACCACGAGCGCCACCACCAAACGCCCCATCACCAAACACGTCCCTCCAATCCTTCACGCTCAGACCCCCACTACCACCCTCTTTCCCCCCTTCGTTACTATCACCATTGCCTACATCCACACCTCTCGCTGCTGCTTCTTTCACTAGCCTCTTTGCCACTAGTGTGTCAATGTGAATATGTAGAGAGTCCGGATGGACGGCTGACACGTTCCCAACGCGCACAACCGACGGCTGAGATCGCGCCGTCGCGTCCTCCCCGTCCTTTGCTGCCTCGGCATGGGCTCGGAAGATCCTAGATATGATTTCGTCCACTGCAGCATTGGATTGCGCACACACCAGCACCCTCGTCCGCTGCTTCTTCCCCCCTGCCCCTCCTGCCCCCTCTCCCCCTCCTCCTCCCCCGCTTGCCCTTCCTCCCGCTCCACTACCTCCTCCAGCTCCCCCTCCTCGACTCACCCCTCCTCCTCCCCTCACTCCTCCCCTCACTCCTCCTCTCATCCCCCCTCTCTCCAAATCCATGGCAACAGCAGCATCTTGCCACATACGAGCCATAGCAGTTGCAGTACTCACCCTCTTTCCCTCCCCACCCAACCCACCCGCCCCACCCCTCAACCCTGGCGCCCTCCCAAGCTGCCTAACCCTCGGCTCTTTCAGATCCCAGCCCACACCCCTGTCTTCTCCTGCTCCCGAGTTCTCCTGATTCCCAGAGTTTACTCTTTTCTTGCAGGCTAGTAAGGCTGTGATGATGGCAACGATGGTGCGGGTCTTGCCTGTCCCTGGCGGACCCTGCACCAACACCAGCTGTCGATTCGCCTCTGTACTGCCGCCACCACCACCACCACCACCACCACCACCACCACCACCACCACCACCACCACCACCACCACCACCACCACCACCACCACCACCACCACCACCACCACCACCACCACCACCACCACCACCACCACCACCACCACCACCACCACCACCACCACCACCACCACCACCACCACCACCACCACCACCACCACCACCACCACCACCACCACCACCACCAAAACCACCAGCGGCAGCAGAAGCAGCAGCACGACCAACACCACCAGCACCAAAACCAGCAGCACCGGCAGCAACAGCAGCAGCAGGAGCAGCACCGCTGAAGCCCGGATTGCTGCCGGATGACCCGTCCTTGTTTGTTCCGACCGCCTGCTGAATGGCTTGCAGCTGGTACTTGTTGAACTGGGCCTCGTACTTGTGCCTGAGGGCGACTGGCAGAGGCGTTCCTTCCAGAGATGCAGTCGCAGCACCAGCAGCAGCAGCACCAGCAGCACCACTACCAGCAGCACCAGCAGCGGCACCAGCAGCACCACTACCAGCAGCACCAGCAGCGGCACCAGCAGCACCGGCAGCACCTGAACTGGCAGCACGAAAGCAGCTGGGCTTAAGCAGAGGTGGCAGCAGCGGCAGGTACTGAGCAGCAGCGAGGGCCTGAAACTCGCGCATGTGCGGCACGAGGGAGAGGATGCGCGTGACGTGCCAGCAGCTGCGGTCCCCCATCAGCTGCTTGCAGCGCGCCAGGCGAGGGGTGCCGGCGGGGGGCAGGAAGAGACGTAATTGGATTACCATTGCCCGAGACTCCCTCTCGTATTCTCTCCTCTCCACCTGAGAATAGAGGAAGAGAGGAAGACATGTGAGAGAGAAAGCAGAGGATGGGGAGAAGGGGAGAAAATGAGCAGCACGAGATCATTCTCCCCACAGAACGGCACCATTCACATTGATCTCACCTTGGCCAGCACATGCTGTATCTGTTGTGCTGATAAGTCGACTTTTGAGTCGACTAAAAAATCGACTCATCACACACTCCCCACAGAGGGGCACCGTTCACATTGATCTCACCTTGGCCAGCACATGCAGCATATGCTGTGCTGCAGCGGCAGCATCATCAGCAGCAGTAGCAGCCGCAGCCGCAGCCGCCCCACTGCAGCAGCATGGTCGGGCACTTTCCGGGTGAGCAGCACGAGATCATTCTCTCCACAGACCGGCCCCATTCAAATCAGCCTCACCTTTGATGATTCTCACCTTGGCCAGCACATGAAGTTGCAGTGCTGCCGCAGCAGTATCACCAGCAGCCACAGCTGCCGCGGAAGCAGCAGCATGGTCGGGCACTTTACGGGTGAGCAGCACGAGATCATTCTCCCCACAGAAGGCCCGCGACCCTGACGAAGCTCCCGGCTCGGCCATGAACCTCGCGAGCTGGAAATCATCCACCCGCTCTATCGACAGCATTCTCACACGCAATTATTTGCGTCTCACCTTGGCCAGCACATGAAGCTGCTGTGCTGCCGCAGCAGCATCGCTCCCAGCAGCAGCTGCCGCCGCAGCGGCATGGTCGGGCACTTTACGGGTGAGCAGCACGAGATCATTCTCCCCACAGAACGCCCGGGATCCTGACGAAGCTCCTGGTTCAGCCATGAACCTCGCGAGCTGGAAATCATCAACCCGCTCTATCGACAGCATTCTCAGCGCTCCCACATATGCCACCTCCGCCCCTCCCCTCCTTTCCCCTGCTCCCCCTCCTCCCGCGCCTCCCCCTCCTCCCGCTCCCCCTCCTCCCGTTCCTCCCGCTCCTCCGCCTCCACCAGAACCTACAGCATCTTCGTACGATCGCCGAAGCTGCGCCTTGAATTCCTCCAGGACTAGTGGCTGGAACACCCGAACGTACTCCGCCACTGAACCAAACTCGTCCGGCACCCGAACCAGCCCCCGGCTCGCCGAACCTGCAGGCTCGGATCCCGACACCACCTCATAGTAATCCATGGCCAGGATTTTCCGAAACCAGTCGTCTAGCTTCGGCAGCGGAGGCTTCTTCCAAGCCATCCAGTCCTGGATGCCGAGCCTACCCGCCAAGCCTCCCGGGCCGGTCCGGTCCGAGCCTAGCGAGATGGTTTGGTGGCGCTTTATCTGGTCTGCAACGCGGTTCATGCCCTCCAACCCACCTATCGAAAGCTTCCCACCTGGCCTCCTTGCCTTTGCTGCTTCTCGCTCCAATTCTGCATCCAAGTCATCATCTGCAAAGACCTCTAGAAGCACTGCTGCCTTTGCTTTTCCTGCTCCTGCTGCCCCTGCTGCTCCTGCTCCTGCTCCACCTGCTGCCCCTGCCCCTGCTGCTGAACGTGCCATGGCTGGTGGGACAGGGGCTTTGCTGGATAAGCCTGCTCCAGATAAACCTGCACCCGAGGGTGGCTCCACAGTAAACGCAAACGGATCCGCTGCTGCACCAGCCCCCCCTGCCCCTCCCTGCTGCTGCTGCTGCTTCAGCCTCTCCGCCAGTTGTCGCTCTCTGATTTGCCGCTGCACGTCCCCCAGGGCACTGTTCCTCTGCTCCACCTCCGCCTTGTGTGACTCTCGAATCGCTGACAGCTTGCCCCCTCTGCCTGCCCCTTTCATGACACCTGGCTTTCTGCTCAGAAGACTCCGCGGCTTCTTAAAAACGACCCCTCCTGCTCCAAGCCTTGACCCTGCACTCGAATTTCCCATGCCTGCACCCGCAGTGCCAGCAGCAGCAGTCCCGGCAGCGGCTGTAGCACCAGCGGCAGCGGCAGCACCAGCGGCTGCTGCAACCTGCGTGCGCAGGTATTTCTCGAGAGTGTTTCGGCGCCGCTGCTTTGCTGCTTGCGAGGAAAGGAGAGAGGCAAGGGGAGTGGCAGCATGAGAGGAGGAGGATGCAGCACCTGCGGAGAACGGAAAAGAAGGCGCTGACTTCGCAAATGCACCTTCCCCAGAAGCACCTTCCCCAGATGGAGTCTCAGCCTCTGCGCCCCCACCTTTACTGCCTCGCTTCAGCTGCCCTATCGGCACCTCATCCTCCTCCTCCTCATCCTCCTCCCCCATCTCCTCCTCCTCTTCCTCCTCCTCCTCTTCTTCCTCCTCTTCTTCCTCCTCCATCTCTTCTTCTACTACCTCCTCCATATTCATATCACCCACTCCCTCCTCCTGCTTCCCTCCCTGTACTTCCTGCTTCACTGCTTTCACCCCTGTAGCATCCATCCCACCAGCACCCATCCCACCAGCACCCACCCCAGCACCCTCCTCAATCTCGTCCAGATCTATAGTCTCAACCATTCCTCCCTTCCCCTTACCGGCAGTCCCTTTTTCCACTCCTCCAACACTCCAACCCCCACCCCAACCCACTCTCTCCTCCCCTTTCCTCCCCCTGCTCTCCTCCTCATCCTCACCCCTCCTTTCCCCCTGCTCCTTACCCCTCTCCTCCTCTTCATCCTCACTAAACAAGTAAATCAAATCTTCAATCCCCTCTCTCCCACCCTCCTCCTCTCCCTCCTCCCCATCCACCATCCCCCCGTCCACAGACGGAACCCTCAGGTTTGGGAGCGGCTGCTTTGGCGGAGGTTCGGCATCCGAAGCTGCGATAAGCGACGCTGCATGCTGTGCTGCTGCCAAAAGCCTATCCTTCTGTTCTTGAGACAAGCTCACACCAACACTTAGCTTAATCCCAGCAATCAGGCAACTACAGAAATCCCTCAGCAGCACAGCCCATTTCCACCTCCCCCAAATCCCACCTCCCCTGCGACCACCAGTCCTGCTGTTGCTGCTCATACCATCACCACTTTTGTTACATTCTCTGATGTGGTTACCAGTGATAAGGCTCCATGTAACCTGTAACGCTTTCAGCACTGTTGCTGAAGCATCCACCCATCGATGCAGTATAGACCCGTCCTTTACAGTCACACAAGCTGCCACGTCAGCCACCCAATCAGCTTCCTCCTCTCTCCCTCCAGCCCCCGCACCACCCATTCCTCCATCCCCAAACCAAGAGGCCCGTACCCCTGCCGAGCCTCCACCCCAGGCCTGGCCGACGCTCCGTTCCAGCAGCAGGTTCGGAATCTCCGGGGAAGAAGCAGCGATCGGGAAGAGTGAGAGTTTACCATCGCAAACCATGCTGGGAACTTTGAAAAGCCCAGGGGCAGTTGGATGGGGGGAGGCAGTGGTGCCTGCAGCAGCCGCAGTGGCAGCAGCTTTGGGAGTGCTGCTGCTACTGCTTGTGATGGAAGATGAGGAAGGGAGTAGATGGTTGACAGCCAGGGGAAGGATCTCGAACAGACGGACAAATACGAGCTTCTGGTGAAGGGAAAGGCAGGGAGGGGAAGGCAGGGGAGGGGAACGCAGGGGAGGGGAAGGCAGGGGAGGGGAAGGCAGGGGAGGGAAGGGAAAGGGAAGGAGGCAGGAGAAAAGAGAGAGAGGCATGGGCGATGGTAGTATCCACACATAATGATATCTTATCCACACATTCCAACACCCATTTCAGCAGAAAAAAAAAAAAAAAAAAAAAAAAAAAAAAAAAAAAAAAAAAAAAAAAAAAACTCCTGAGAGGAGTTATTGAGATCTTACCTGACCGCCGGTGGTGATGGTATCAGCACATGCCCTGCATCGCCACACCAGAAATGCCACCATGGGCCACAGCACACGAGACACATCCCACCCAACCGCTCTCCACACCTCCTTTCTCTCCCTCTCCTCCCTCTCCCACTCCCTTGCCTTCTCCTTCGCCTTCCCCTCCTCATGTTGCTGCTCCAGTTTTACACTAGCAGCAGCAGTGCCATCGGTAGCACCAAACGCACCAGGCGCGGCAGCAGCAGTACCACCACCACCAGCACCAGCACCAGCAGCAGCAGCAGCTGTCACACTTGGCTTGGTGAAAAACTTCTTGATCCCCATTTGTGCCCCGACCCCTACCCCTGATCCTGCTCCACCCCTCCCAAACCCCCCAGACTTAGCAGTGAGGCTGGGTGAGGGAGGTGAGGGGCCGGGCAGAGGAGTGGAGTGCGGTGGAGAGATGCAGGAGAGGTGTACGGAGGGAGGGCCGAGGAGCTTGGATGCATAGAAGAGAAGGCCCTGGATGATTGACGCTTGCTTTCCTGTGGGGTCCAGGGACAACTGAAGGGACGAGGCATGGGCAGAGCACAAAGATGGGGGGATCCAAGGTGGGAGACAGGGAGGTGAGAGGGTAAAGCGAGGAGCTTTGATGCGTAGAAGAGAAGGCCTTGGATGATTGATGCCTGCTTGCCTGTGGGGTCCAGGGAGAGCTGGTGTGTGTGTGAGTAGGGCAGAAGAATGGGAAGGGAAGGGGTGGACATAAGGAAGGACAGGCAGAAAGAAAGTGAGGAATGGAAAGAGAAGGGGTAATAGACGGTAGGAGGAGCAGAAGAGAAGGCTTTGGATGAGACGCCTGCTAGCCTGCGGGGTCCATGGGAAGCTGGTGGTGGGGGGAGAGACACCAGTCATCAACGTGTTTGAAGAAGTGTTTTGAGACGTCTCAAAAACACTTCTTCAAACAAGTCATCAACGCACAACAGAAAAGGAGGAACAAGTGGGAGCAGCCGAATACCTCCTGGTCATCACAAGAACATCGCATGACCATGAGCACCAATTTCTTACCACAGTAGCAGCCTTGACAAACGCCTGAACAAGCTGGGGGCAGAGGCAGCAGAGGAGATGATCCGATACGATACGATCTCCTGCACCCATGACAGTACCCATTTGATTTCTCACCACAGCAGCCGCCTTGGCGAATGCCCGAACGAGCCCACGGGCAGAGACGGAGGAGGAGGCGAGGAAGGCGAGCTGGTGGTCAATACGGTGGTCCCTGCAGAGGGATGTTAGCAGCTCTCGTGCCATGTCCCTGTTGGGCTGGGGGAGGAAAGAGTGAAGGAGTGAAGACGGGGGACAGAGGTAAGGGATAGAGGCGGGGGAGGTGGCAAGGAAGGCGAGCTGGCGGTCGATGCGGTGGTCCCTGCAGAGGGAGGTGAGGAGCTCTCGAGCCATGTCCCTGTTGGGCTGGGAGGGGGAGAGGTGGAAGGAGTGGGAGAAAGGGTAGAGGGGGAAGCGGAGGGGGAGTGGGGAGAGAGACGCACATGGGACAGGTAAAAGAAGGCGAAATGGTGGTAGATTCACTTTTGAGGCGCCTCAAAAGACGCACATGGGACAGGTAAAGGAAGGCGAGATGGTGGTAGATTAAAGCTCAGGAGCCATTGCAGTGCGAAGGGGAGAAGGGGAGAGGGGGGGAGGGAGCTGACCAGTTGGGAATCGATGAGGAGGAAGATGAGAGGCTCTGCCAGGCTGGCATGCCACGTCAGCAGCTTGAGCCGATTGGCGCCTCTGATCTGGACGAGGCAAGAGGACACGCTCCTGTGATACAGGGACACGTGGCATGGGAAGGAACGGGATAGAGGAGAGGGAACGGGATAAAGGAGGAAGAAGGAGGGTATTGAGGGGAATAGGTAGACTGAGACTGAGAGGAATATGAATGGGAAGGATGGGGATGTGGTGGGAAGCAAACGGAAGGAACGTGGGGAAAACAGATGGGGTGGGGGGAAAATTGGGGAAATGGAGTACAAACACCCACCCACCCACCTCTGCAGAATGGCGCATACGAATGGCGCTCAGTTGCTCCGTGAGCGGAGGATTATCAGACACGTGTATGAAGAAGTGCTTTGAGACGTGTCAAAACACTTCTTCATACGAATGGCGCTCAGTTGCTCCGTGAGCAGAGGATTATCAGACACGTGTATGAAGAAGTGCTTTGAGACGTCTCAAAACACTTCTTCATACGAATGGCGCTCAGTTGCTCCGTGAGCAGAGGATTATCAGCTGACTTTCGAGTCGACTCAAAAGTCAGCTCGTTACAATGTCCCTTCGTGAGCAAAGGATTTTTAGTCAATTCAGAACGCACATTGAGAACACACCCCCCCCACTCACCTCTGCAGAATGACGCTTAATTCCTCCTCGTGTTCTGCTGCTGCCACCGCATTCACACACCCTGCTTTCGCCCCTCTCCCCCCTCCCCCAGCCCCAGGAGCCAACCTCCAGTGCAGAGCCGCTGTAACCACCGCACTGCTGGTAACCGCAGGACCGCTGGTAACAAGAGGCTTACTCCCAGCAGATGTAACCCCAACACCACCACCACCAGTACCAGCAGCCGCAGCAGCGGCGGAAGCAGAGAGACAGAAGTGCCCTGCCGCCCAAACGGCTGCTCTGAGTAACGGTTTTGGTAACCACTGGGGGGGAGTTCGCTCTAGTAGCTCCAACCAGAGCGCGGGAGCACACTGCCACCTGTCGCTCTCTGCTGCCGCCACCTCAGGAAGCCGGTCCAGCTGGTCCTGAGGCAAACCCTCCGAGATTGAGGATAAAGAGGAAGAAGAGGAGGAGGTGGTGAGGGAGGAGGTGGAGGAGGAGGAAATTTGGCCTGTGCTGGTGTCAGCAGCACCAGCAATACCAGAACCACCACCCCCACCTCCCTCCCCTCCATGCCCTCCCTCATCCCCTTCCCCTGGGCACACCAGCGACTGCGAAAACAACGCACCTGCCACAGCAAACCCCGAACCTAACCCCGAACCTGCGCCCGGACCTGAGCCCGGACCTAGCACCGAAGCGCCAGCGAAGGCTCGGGAGAGCGCGAGCGAGGTGAGGGCAGCAGTATCGGCAGTGATGATTGCTTGGGCGAGGTGGATGGCAGGCAGGCGGAGGGGGTCGGGGAGAGATGCGTCCTTGACTGCCCCCACGAGGGGCGGCCCCCAGATGTCAGCACAGTCGGTGGGCGGGAGAGGCGGAGTGAGTAGGTAGGAGTGCAGGATGAGGCTGAATGCGATCTGATGGGAGGGAGGGATGCGAGTGGGGGAAGGGGGGACAGGGTGGAGGTCACAGCAGCATAGCAACATAGTCTTGGCTGGGGTGAAGGAAAAGGGGGGAAAGGGTTGAAGCTGAAGAAGGGGAGAGTGGAGCTGAAGTTATGTGGCACAACAAATTAGAACAAGAGACAGAGGAAAAACCCTTACCCGGCGGGCGATCTTGATGGTGGTGGTGCTGAAGTTGCGGCTGTTGGGCAGCTGGATGAGCAGGAAGAAGAGGATGCTGCGCCGCTGCCTCTCGAATTCCTCTGTTTCCAGCGATTCCACAGACTGATAAGCCAGGAAAGAATGTACAAAAAAGAAAGAAAGAAAGAAAGAAAGAAAGAAAGAAACCACAAGTACAAGAGTTATCGAAGCAGGATGTGGTTACAATTTCTTCATTTGATCGAAACAAAAATGGGGATAATGATATCACGGACGACTTGGACATGAACGGCAGGCAAGTTTTGGACAGACCTGCAGGAAGGGCGGCAGGAGGTCAAGCAGGAGCTTGTGGGTGGGCTCGTGGGAGGAGTTGAAGCACTGCGAGATGAGCGTGTTGCGCACGACACCGGGCGGGAAGGCCGAGTGCAACCAGAGCTTGTATCCTGGAAGATTTATGACAGGGAGTCAAAGGGAAGGAAAGAGCGAAGTAGAGAGGGGCGGATGGGTGAGTAGGTGAGTGGGTGGGTGGGTGGGTGGGTGGGTGGGTGGGTGGGTGGGTGGGTGGGTGGGTGGGTAGGTAGGTGGGTGAGTGGGCGGGCGCTTGGGTGGGAAGGTGGAAGGAAGGTGGGACAGTGGCGAGGATGGGAGGTGAGACGGTGGGAGGTGAGCAGTTGGAAAGTGAGGAGGTGGAAAGTGAGGAGGTGGAAGGTGAGGAGGTGGAAGGTGGGAGTTGGGGAGGGGGGAGGCGAGAGGAGGGAGGAGGGAGGTAGGAGGTGGAAAGGTGGGCAGCAGGAAGGTGGGATGGTGTGGTGTGGGCTAGTGAGTGGGTTGGGCAGGCAGGTGGTGGAACAGGGAACTTCAAAACCCCATATTTTGAAAGAATCTAAACCCCATATTTTGAAAGAATCTAAACCCCATATTTTGAAAGAATCTAAACCCCATATTCTGAAAGAATCTAAACCCCATATTTTGAAAGAATCTAAACCCCATATTTTGAAAGAATCTAAACCCCATGTTTTGAAAGAATCTAAACCCCATATTTTGAAAGAATCTAAACCCCTTCACCCACCTGTGACTTGCAGCGTCATTCTGAGGCATGCAAGGGCAGGCCGGAATACCGAAGTGTCCTCCCCCATGTGGTTCAGCAGTATGCTCACGAAAGCCGGGTAGCGCTCAACCACCCACTGCTTAGAACTCAAGCTCGGTGACTTTTGAGCCGACTCAAAAGTCACCTCAACCACCCACTGCTTAGAACTCAAGCTCGGTGACTTTTGAGCCAACTCAAAAGTCACCTCAACCACCCACTGCTTAGAACTCAAGCTGGCTCTTTAAGGGGCACCCCACCTGTGACTTGCAGCATCATCCTGAGGCACGCCAGGGCGGGTCGGAAGACAGATGTGTCCTCCCCCACGTGGTTCAGCACTATGCTCACGAAAGCCGGGTAGCGCTCCACCACCCCCTCGTCCAGTGCTGGTGGCGCCATGAGCGACAGGCTGAGAGGGATGGGAGTTGGGAGAGGTTGAGAGCGGTTTAGGGAGGTTGAAAGATGGGGCGGGTGGGGGAGGCAATGGGCACATGGGAGAACTATGCTCACGAACGCCGGGTAGCGCTCCATCACTCCCTCGTCCAGTGCAGGTGCTGCCATGAGCGAGAGGCTGAGAGAGGGGTTGAGAAAGGTTTGAAAAGATTGAGAGATGGCGCACATACAGAAGCATTAGAGTTGAATCAAAAGGACACCCACACACCACACCACACCACACCACACCACAACACTCCACACCAAAACACACCCACGCACAACCACACCACACTCACATGGTGAGCAGTCCCTGCCACATATCTTCCTTCGAATGCACCACACGAGGCCGCTCGCCCCCCTCCCTCCCACCCCCAACTCCTGCTCCCCCTTGCGCACTCGCAGAGGCAGTGGCGTTACCAGCAGCACCGGCTCTTCCCAAGCCTGTTCTCGAGATTGCTGCCGAGCCTGTTCCCGAGCCTGTGCCTGTGCCAGTAGAGGGTGTGCTTGTATCAAAGAGGTCATACTCCAGGACGTGCATGCACTGCTGCAGGAGGGGGTCGATGGGCCTCAAATCTGCTGCTGTTCTGTTTTCGGTGTAGGTTTGGGGTTGGGTGGGAGGGGAGAGGGGGTTGGGGCCAGTAAGAGAATGCCACAGGTGAAGATACTTCGTGGCAAAGAGGCAGTACTCCAGGGGAGCGTGCATGCAAAAACGATCTTGGGAAAAGTTTAAAGCTCATTGATCTCAGATGTACAAACATACTGTGGAAAAGCAAGGAGAGGAGATCAAGTGTACGCACTTGAAGAGGCCGAGGGGCTTGGCGAGAGTGTAGACAATGGCGCGAGTGTCTTTGTTGGGATGAAGCATGAGATGGTAGAGGCCCTGAGTGGGGGGAAGGGGGAAAGGAGGATGATAGACGATGGTATACACGATGGCTAGTGACTTTGCTGAAGTCCTGTCCGTGGGGTATAGACGATGGCTCGAGTGTCTTTGTTGGGATGGGATGCAGCATGACATGGTACAGGCCCTGAAAGGGGAGGGGAGGAGGTGTGTGGGGGGTATGAAAAGTGCGAAGGAAGGCGAGAGAAGCAGTGACAATAAGGAGCAAGTCTGCTGCTGATTCAGGCTAACAAACAAGTCTCTCTCTCCACGAGCAACAGAGAAGGGCCACATCATGGCACAGCATGTCATGCCTTGCCACATCATGCCATATACTGTGTCTATCACTCACCCGGTATCTTTGTCCCGGAGTGAGTGACAAGTCAAAGTGCCTTTCCACGAGCACCAGGGCAGGGCCAGCGAGGGAAAACACCTCTGCGTCCTCCAGCACACGCGGGTACATGAGCAACTCAAACATGACACAAATCACCCCCGGCCCGTCCCTCTCCCTTTACACTGACTCACCGGGTATCTCTGTCCCGGAGTGAGGGATAAGTCGAAGTGTCTCTCTACGAGCACCAGTGCAGGGCCAGCGAGAGCAAACACCTCTGCGTCCTCCAGCACGCGCGGATACATGAGCAGCTCAAACATTAAGCAGATCACCCCCGGCCGGGCCGGCCCTTCTCCCTCCTACACTGACTCACCGGGTATCGCTGCCCCGGGGTGAGTGAGAGGTCGAAATGCCTTTCCACGAGCACCAGAGCAGGGCCAGCGAGGGCGAACACCTCTGCATCCTCCAGCACACGTGGGTACATGAGCAGCTCAAACATTAAGCAGATCACCCCCGGCCCGTCCCTCTCTGCATCCAAAACCTGCCCTCCAGCCATGCCACTGCTCCCAGCACCGCTACCAACACCACCAGAACCGCTCGAAACACCACCAGAACCGCTCGAAACACCACCAGAACCGGCTCCAACACCACCACCCGTCCCTCCAGCACGACCCACCAGCGCCCTCAATTCTCCCGCCACCCTCTCCTCATCCAACCTCCTCAGCGTGTCCAACACAGGCCCCACCACTTCCTCCACATATTCCTCCTCGTACACTCTCTTCGCTGCGTGGTATCTCGCCACACAGCGCGTGCAGGCGCGCATCTCCCCCGCCATGCGCGCCCAGAGCGCGTGCAGTGTGGCGCGCGTGTCGGGCGGGCCCGAGTGGTAGTGGTAGAAAGGTTCTAAGAGTGGTTGAGTGAGGGATCGGTGGCGGCACCACAGGTGGGCAGAGGGGGGGAGTGCGGAGAGGAAGGAAAAAGCGTCAGTGAACCTGGGAGGGGAGTTGGGAAAAGGGGGAGAGGGGCAGTACAGGTGAAACGGGGGCTTTCGATTCTGAATTAAGTGGGCCCAAGTGGTAGTGGTACACGGGCTCCAGGAGGGGGCTTTTGAGTCGACTCAAAAGCAGTTTCGATTCTGAATTAAGTGGGCCCAAGTGGTAGTGGTACAAGGGCTCCAGGAGGGGCTGGGTGAGGGCGCGGTGGCGACACCACAGGTGGGCGGAGGGGGGGAGCGCGGAGAGGAAGGCGAAGGCGTCATTAAACCTGTGAACCTGGGGGAAAGGAGGGGGAGGGAGCAGGGTTGTAGAGGGGCAATGGGGGGTTCTGAATTGGGTGGGCCTGAGTGGTAGTGATAGAAGGGCTCCAGGAGGGGCTGGGTGAGAGAGTGGTGACGGGCTGGAGTGGTAGTCAGCATTTCCAGTCCCTCCCTGAGACGAGGCCCCAATAACCCCCAAAATACTCACCCTACTACACCCGGTACCACAACCCACGATACTGCTGATACCACGGATACCACTACCCTTAGGACGCAATCACAAGCACGCAGGCTTCTGTCCCTACCATTGTCCCTTGAGCGCTATCAGTTGCTCCTCCGCCCTTACCAATCCCCCCTCCCTACACAAGCACAAGCACTCGATCCTTTTTTCCCTACCATTGTCCCTTAAGCGCCATCAGTTTCTCCTCCGCCTCGTCATCTTCCGGAAGCTCACCCAGCGCCTCCTCTATCCGCTCCCACCGCGCCTGCAGCTGCTTCTCCGCCGCCTCAGGGGTAAGATTTCCCCCCCCTGAACCCCTTCCGCTCCCCCCGGCTCCCCTTCCGGACCCCCCCTCATCCGTTTCCTGCTTTCCGCCGGATGATGGAGCCATTCTGAGTGTATCAGCGTTGCGGGTTTACGTTTACGCTAACACAATGACGCTGCCACGGTTCTACGGTAACGAAACAGCTTGTAGCGAATCTGTAGTGCGTGACCGATCATGGCCAATCTTGAAGGTGTGCTTCTGACCGAGTACAATTCAACCTGTACGGCCAAGTCTGATCGAACGTGGACTGGTGTGGTGCGTCAGAGCACGCTGACTAATAGATCATGCTATCTCCTCAACTGCAGGCGGAGGTTGAAAATTAGTCATCGACGATAACTTGCGGGAATGGTAACAAGCTGATGATGACGCGTGGCCTGATGACGAGAGACGTATCGTAAAACGAAACCCGTTTGCCAGCCACTCGATATCGGAGAGTTGTACACCACATGAACTTGAAGATGCTAAGGATCAACTTCTGAGGAAGATACTAAGGCAGGGATTAAATCGATACTTTCGAGGTACGATATGCCTTCCTCGCTTTCTCTAACCCAAGCACCGTCAAAGTAAGACTGGTCATCCATCCCGCCGCCATGATATGCGGAAGTGATCATCACTCATGCCTCGGCAATGTCAGAAGAATCCCCTAGAGGTTACCATCATGAGTTTTGAGGCTAAGTCCCAAAAGATCGCTTGAATGCGGCTGAGTTCGGTTCGTTGCGTTTTCAGAGCGATTCGTCTACTGCCTGGATGGGTTGGGTTGGATTCGGTTGATCATGAAGTTTTTTGGTTCTGTACCCTTGATTGTGCCGTGAGCGTCACGATGTTGGCGGGAAGCGAATTGAACTGGTTATGTCAGAGACTTCATACAGTGACTGGCATTTACAATTTAAATTACGTATACTACTCTTATAAATAGATACAATACAGAACACTTTCCAGCCCAATACTTTTTAAACTATCTCTACAATGTACGTGCATATTTAACATCTACTCAATGGATCACTCAAGAGGAACTCCATCCCCTAACACAAGCTCCATCGGCTTGGCTCCCTCCACTGTCTCTCCCTTCACTTCTCCCACCACCTTCAAGCAGAAGTCGACATCAATAGAGTCACACCCAGGGCTCTGTAGTGCCTCATGCAGCCACACCCTGCACTGCTCCACCACTTCAGTCACATCCATTTGACTCAACCGCTTTCCAAATCCAGAGCAGTGCTTTCCTTCCACTTCCTCCAACCTACAATCACCACCATCACCACCATCACCTCCAACCACTGCCACATCAGCTCCTTCCCAGAACGTATTACATTCACCCAAATCTCCTTCCGGAAGTTCTGGAAGATCTGTTACATCCAGCAGCAGCGGAATCTGTGCAAGCTCCCCCAGAATTTCGTTAACATCGGCCATAGCATCTCCACCATTCCCTTCAGCCAAAGAACGGCCTTTCCTCTTCGATCCGGACCGTTTTCTACTCCCAGCAGCACCAGCACCAGCTTTCGCCGTCCGCTTCCCGGTCAGCAGGAACATCCGGTCCTCCTCTGACTTGCACTGACACGCCAGGCACTGACACGGCGTTTCATCTGACGTGGCGGGTTTCAACTGCTTCTCCAGAGCCTCCCAAAGACCCCCCTCTTCTGATCCCGAGTCGACGTCCAGCTCTTCATTTGCTGCTAAAACCGCGGAAGCAGGGGAAGGAGGATCCACGCGCCTAACTTTGGATGGCTGCTGCTGCTGCTGCTCCTGGTCCAGCTCCTGTTGCTGCTGCGGCTGCTGCTGGGGCTGCTGCTGCTGCTGTTGGAATTCGTAGCTTGATGTTGGTGAAAACGCGAGATCCCGCTTCCGCTTTCCGAGAGGGGCTTCGACAGGGGTCAGTCGCTCCTGGGACATAGCAACAGCAGCACCAGGAGCAGCAGACGGAGCGACAGGAGCAGCAGACGGAGCGACAAGAGCAGCAGGAGCGGAGGGGATTTGCGTTCCGCTGCCGCCACACCGGCGCAGAACGAGACCAGGGGGCAACTGCAGCAGAGAGATGCGCATTGGCTGCAGCGCCGGCGGCGGAGGGGGGATCGCCACGTGGCATTGCTGAGGTGTCACCTCAGGCTGCGACGCGACGTGGTTTCCCAAGGCGGGTTCGACAAGAAACTCCGGGAACTCGTCGCCTGCGACGTCCAGCGACGAGAAATCGACGTCGCCACCAGTAGCATGGAACGCATAGAGAAGGAAGTCGCCAGCATCGCCGAGCGCATCGCCGAGCGCATCGCCGAGCGCATCGCCGAGCGCATCGCCAAGGCATGCATCGCTGAGTTTGCTCTCAAGAATCACGCGAGTCTCCTTCCCAAAGTCCGGTTTCACTGCAATCTGGCCCACGTCGTTCGCCGCAAGCTCGGTCGCAGTCAGATCCCCTGCAGTCAGCTCAACGGCAGTCAACTCGTCAACCAGATTGGCCTCGGCAATCAGGCTTGTCTCGTCCGTCAGATCCAAGTTCAGGATCCAATCAGCGCCGCCCGCGGCAGCCGCAGCCGCATCAGCAGACGATGAGCTCTCCTCGACGATCAGATCTTCCAGGTTTCCGAACGCGTCCACAGGAGCCTCGTCAACGTTAACGTTACCGTTTGCTTCCAGTTGATTGTCGGATGGAGCAGACAGGAACTCGGGAAGTGGGAGGTCGTCGGGGAAAGAGATTCGCGCGGAGGTCGCCAGCAGTTCGGTGGAAGCGTTGTCGTTGGAAGCAGCAAAGTTTTGCGACATTTACGACCAGAGCACTATAAAAGAGCGGTGACTGAGCGACCAGAGAGCGATCAAACAGCGAGGATTGGCTCTGCGGAGGCTGAGACGAGTATAATCAGCGGCGAGACAGTCTACTTGCGAAGAGTTCGAACACAGAAGCGCACAGAGAAATGAAACAGACTACCAGAATATGTACTAAGTTGGCCTACTAGCCATAGGACTGCTCGATAGGAGCAGACGGAGACGGAATCGACACATGCAGAGGGCAAGGGAAACACACAAGCACAGGTGCCAGTGCGCTACTGGGTTTCCTGTGGTTTGCAGTACGTTTCGAAACGGTAGAAACAGTTGAAGCGGTTTTCTGTGCTGATTCCAAGGTTTTAGGGGGGCCAGACATTCGAGGATCTGACAGCAGCGACGCGGAATGCTAGGGCGAGCATCGCAACGCAATTTGAATTGACTCCGACGAATGCCCGGAGAATTATGGGTCGCATCGCAGGGAATGCAAGTAGGAATCTGAGTCGCAGGGATTTCGCACGGGAAGTTGGGTCGCGAAGAATGCTTGGAGAATTTTGGTCACAGCGCGCGAAGGGAACCCCTGGGCGACGTAGGCGGAGCCCCCCCGAGAATTCCGAGAGCCTATCTACACACGATGGCGGGAAAAGTTCATGCCCGTTCAAAAACCGACACGCAAGCCAGGAAAACGAACGATAGTCAATTGTGCAGTGGTACCGTTCGGTACTGAAGGAAGGACTAAATGGGTACAGGTATAGAAACGAAATCAATTATATAGAAAGAATGAAGTTTCTACAACCCACCTGAGACGGACTCTCTAGGTATATTGCGAAAAAAAACGTATCGACAATACCCAATTCGGCCTTCATTGTGCTGATGGGGCTATGGACACAGCGCGAAACTGGTTCACACTTTTCGCCCCTGCTTCAAGCTCTTGCTTCTCCCTCTTGCTGTCCCAGCCATGCTCCTTTGCCAGCAGTTTGACAACACGTGGCAGAGCATGCATTGCAGCATCGGCATCTAGGAAGGCGATACGAGATCGGCGGCACAGGAAGTCTGCTGCAGTCTCGCAAAACTCGTTACGGGCAGCGAAGATTACTTCAGCCTCGATGTCGGGGAAACCAGGAGCAAGGCGCTCAGCCAAAAGCTCAGTCTGTGGGGAATGGGAAAGAACGGACAGTGGTAAGTATCTAGAAGAAATTCAAGTGCACGAGTGCCAAGGAGGAGATGATACGATGTGGGCTGAGAGCCCAGAAAGTACAAAACCTCAAACCACAATGAACCTTCAATGCATTCTTGCTGATAAAGTCAGTGTCTGATGAGGACGACGTATGTTTTATTATTTAGCAAGACAGAATTGAGAATGGCAAATCACTTACAGTTGCAATCTCCTTCACTTTGCTCGCATTCGTCCCATACGACCGCACCAGGTGGTACACCACCGCAGAATCCAGCCGGTACGGCAGGATCCGACGGTCAGGAGCCACCCGCAGCACATCGGCATTCTGCGCCAGCTGGGAGAAGAGGGCCGGGGTGAAGCCAGCCGCTCCTGTGAGGGGCAGATGCTCCGTGACGCTGGGGGGCAGGGCGAGAGCGCTGCTGCTGCCGCTGCTGCTGCTGGTGGTGCTGCTGGTGCTGGTTGATGGATTGGTGGGGTTGGTGGTGGTTGGTGCTGTGAGGTTGCCGACTCGGATGGCTGTGTTGACCGTGTCCTCTGCCATGCTGGACGAGGGAGAGGAGGGGGAGAAATTGGGAAATTGAGGGGGAAGGGTAAACAGAGAGAATGGAGTGGGATGAAAGGGGGGGAAGGGGAAGCAGGAAGGAAGAGAGGTAGGATGGGTGGTTGTGTCATTGGCAAAAACGGTTTGTTGAGAGGCAGACAAGTGAAGAGGGTTGAAATATGTGTTATTTATATGGCAATAATGTAGCAAAGTAAAATCTGTTACACTCACCTCCTGTAAGTGGTCCACTTGCCGCCTGTGACTGTAACCAGAGTACCTCCCTCCACCATCACAGTGTGCTCTCGGACCACATTCGATGTATCTGCCTTGCTCCCTTCCGTCTGCTTCCCCTCCTCTGTCTCAACCTCTTCCGGCTTCCCTGCTCCTGCCGTGCCTCCCTCGGGTTTACCCTCTTCTTGCGCGGGTGTTTTCGTTTTGAGCCCTTTCCGCAGGAGAGGGCGGAGCCCGCCCCAGACAGACAAGACATCTTCCTTGCGCACCTGCATTAACCAAGTTACCACAAGAGGAAAGCGACCATTAAAGCTGACGCAAACACTAGCAAGAGAAAATTCCATGTTAGGCGGTTTGACCGTTAAAGGTTTGGCACATGCTCAGAACCAAAAGGTGTAAAATGTTGGAACCGTTGGTTTGTCTGTACTGATTCAATATTGATTTATTAGCCTCATTAAACTGACATCGAATCCACACAAGCAGTTGCCCTCGTTATATTCACATCCACATCCAGGTAGTTGCTGAGAGTATCCACGATGAACTGAACCTCCGTCTCCGTGGGAACAGGCACATCCACCACCTCCGAAGGCGCATCTGTCGTTCCAGCCACCACCCTCCCCAGCCACCACCTGCCCCAGCCACGGCAGCATGAACATCACCCTCCCCAGCCACCACCCTCCCTAGGGAATAAACTGCGGCATCACACAACGGAATCAAATCCCAATCACTCACATCCACATCCAGGTAGTTGCTGAGCGTATCCACGATGAACTGAACCTCCTTCTCCGTGGGAACAGGCACATCCACCACCTCGGAAGGCGCATCTGTCGTTCCAGCCACCACCCGCCCCAGCCACGGCAGCATGAACATCACCCTCCCGTCCGCCGTCTTCGGTATAAGCAGACCCACGTTTCCGCCGCCGCCACCGCTGCCGCTGGCGGTGCCTGCCCCCGCACCTGACGTGCTGCCAGAGGCGGCTCCCAGGTAGAAGTCGGGGAGAACGACGTGGGAGCCGGAGGAAGCCAGGACGGCGAGAGGAGTGTTGGGATCCGCCATACGGCGAACGCTGTTTGGGTTTCAGGGGAGAGAGGGGGATTTGGGTAGGTAGCGAGGTGTGAAGTAAGGTGGATTGCGAGCCTGACGTGCTGCCTGAGGTGGCTCCCAGGTAGATGTCGGGGAGAACAACGTGGGAGCCAGAGGAAGCGAGGACTGCTAGGGCATGTTGGGGTCGGCCATACGGCGAATGCTGTTTGAGGGTGGGGGTGGGAGGGGGGGCCGTGATGAGGGAGAGGGGGTAGGGGAGTAGGGGGGTTGGGGGAGATTGCGGTGCAAGGGTTTGTAAGTTGTGAGCCTGACATGCTGCCGCTGGCTGTGCCTGCCCCTGCTCCTGACGTGCTGCCTGAGGCGGCTCCCAGGTAGAAGTCAGGAGAGAGACGTGTGAGCCGGAGAAGGCGAGGTTTTGGGGTGTGGGTGGGTATTGAGGCGAACTGTTTTACACTGTGAGCCTGACGTGTTGCACTTGTTCAGTTGTTCCTTTACTGTCACGATTTTTCCTCCATATGTTCCGCTCTTGTTCTCAAGCACTATGTCACCTTTCACTCCTCACCTTTCACTCCTCACCTTTCATCCCTCACCTTTCAGCCTCTCGCCTGCCCTCCCCCACCCCTTTCTCACCTGTCACAGTAAGCGCCTGTGGCGTTCACCACCACTTTGGCGCGCACATCCACCTGCTTCCCCGTCAGCTCGTCCTTCACCACAGCGCCCTCAACTCGCCCAGTCGGGTCTGTCTTTAACGCGGACACGCTCGCGTGGTTGAGCACAACAGCGCCTGCGCGCGCTGCCGTGGTGGCGAGCGCGAGGTTCAGCCGAGCGTCGTCCATCTGCCCATCGTAATACAGCACTCCAGCTTTCAGCGTACGGCCGTCTGGGGAGGAGGGGTGAGTGGGGAGGTTGAAAGGAAGTTGGGGGCAAGGGGTAGTGCTTCTTTGGGGGACTCTGAGGCAGGCTTGCAACAGTGACCGCTACAGGGTGTTACGCTCTACGCAACTCACCTCGGGCCTTGTGTGCAAGCGTCGGAACCATCCCAGTAGCCTCCGCTGCCGTGACCACGCGGGACATGTAAAGCACTTTCTTCCCCGCTATAATATCATACGCTTTAAGCCCGACCCAGTAGTAGGGCACCTCCCACCAATGATAGCACGGCGTGAGCGTGGGTAACGGCCAGACCAGGTGCGGAGCGTTGCGAATCAGAATGCCTCGCTCCGCCAGGGCTTCGTTCACGAGGCGAAGCTGGGCGAGATCTCTGCGAAGGAAAGCCTTTTCGAGGTAACGAACGCCTGCAGAGAAGGAGGGAAGCGTGGAGGGGGGCACAGGAGAGAAGGAACGTGATTTGTTGCCTGCTGAAAGGACTACAGAAAAAGGACCGTGGGTGTGAGAAAACAGAAACCAAAGCTCGTTGAGTGGGTTTTAACAAATAATATTGCCCCACGAATTTTCGAGGGGACTGACCTCCATGAACGAGCTTAGTGCTTCTAGAGGATGTGCCACAACTGAAGTCGTCTCGCTCCACCATCGCCACGTGGAGGCCGCGTGCAGCAGCGTCCAAGGCCACGCCAGCGCCAGTAGCGCCGCCGCCTATAACGAGGATGTCGAATGGCCGCGCAGAGCTGCTCCCTGCGAGAGCTGACATATGAACCTGCCTCGACGGAACCTCGTCGGCAAGCTCTGGAGGGGAAGAAGCGAAACATTGAGTCTCACATTCAGGAGTTGACATAAGATACGCAAAATCGCATTCAAAAGAGTAAGAACTCAGACACATGGATGTCACTGAAAGTACAGCGTGAAATATGCATCGCAAATGGTGAATCTGTGGAATGTTACGAAGGCTTCTGGTTCAAGACATGCAAAACAATGGAAGACTGACAACACTGTCGAACTACACCGTGACACGTACTGGGAAGGTTCTTAGGAGGGTCGGCATGGCCGGTGGAGTGGATATAAGCCGCGAGAGCAGCAGCTACGCCTGCTCCTCCGAATAGGACCACCTTGGAGAACAACCGACCAGTTGTGCGAATGCTCATTCTGGCTACCGTGAACTGTTAGCTGATCCGACAAGCTGGATTGAGTTATTGTTCTGTAACGTGATTATCTGACAACTTGGTGCAACGGAATGATCGTCAGGCTGTCGCGACGCGATTCAAATAAACAGGAACGGCACTGTTACATAAGGTTCAACTAGCAATAGCGCAATGCTTGAAATCTCTACTAATAAGTAGACTAGTATCGGGAAAGGCTACTGGTGGCCTGAATATCTCTACTATCAGCGACTGATCAACAATTCTATCCTTGAGAAATGGAATTAGGAGGAGTCAGGGAGGCTCCCGAATTAGACCAGATGGAACAGCAGTGAAAAATCCCCAGGTCAAGCAAATCTCGAGGGGACCCGCGATTCCCGAAGTGAGTCTCTTTCCCGCGCATTGCTGGACGGCGATGGGTCATCAATGGCCCAATATGAGTCAGCCTAGGTCCAACAAACCAGCCCCAGGTCCACCGAAATGGCACGTAAGCAGCCACGTGCGAAATAAAGGGGTTGGAATCGTGGTTGGTGGGGCGACATGTGCTGTATCCATGGTGGCATCGTATATCCACGGTGGCATTGACACGGCGAAAAACAGAACCATGCTTTAGAGTGACTTCCGGATTCCTACAGAATGCTGTGCGTGTATCGAAATCGCCATACTCTTTTCCACTTACAATATTTGCATCAATACAAAATTGTTTGTGGTGGGCCAAGAAGTCTGGCTTGCTTGGACATTTTGGCCAAATGCCAGTCTTCTACGTACCACTCTGGGGTACTATTCGTTGCAAAAATCTCTTCACACATTTTGATATCATCTCGAAGTAGACCCTGCATGTCAACGTTAATGGTGGGTGAGTTTTGAGGGCGAAGGTATGAGTATATCAACAAAGAAAATAAAGAGGTGAAAAAACAAACACAATCAAGTCCAATTCCATACCTGGAAATGGTTAAATAAATGGCCAGATGAGGCAGGCAAGTCTAATCCATTCTCCACTGGCTCAATTGTACGATGCACCTGGATGGATGAATGTGGGATAGGTTGGTCGATGAAGCATATAAACCACATTAGAAAGAAAGGAAGAAACGAAAGAAAGAAAGAAAGAAAGAAAGAAAGAAAGAAAGAAAGAAAGAAAGAAAGAAAGAAACATACAGCACTAATTGATGAAACGGACAGTGCTACTTGCCTGCATGGCTGTGACGAGTTTTGTGTTGGCGATAACTTTTCGATGCCCAAAGTAATTGATGCAATTATCCTCCTCATGACCCGCATTCTTGGGCCCTATGCAGTAGATGTGTGGCCAGTGGAAGGGCATTCGCTCGAGATAAAAGTGATCCGATGGGGGCTGAGGGCTGTGAGACGACAAGAGCAGTGTTGGGTGGGGGATGGGGAAAACAAGAACAGAACTGATTTTGTGAGTCGATCGAAAAAAAATAAAAATGATAAAAGTGCCCTGATGGGGGTTGAGAACTGTGGGGCAACGATAGATGTGGGGTTTGGGGATGTCGAGAGGGATGGGTTGGGAACAAATGGAGGAATAAGGTGACGGATGACTGAATGGCAACGCAACAATGATCGCAAAGCCGCATCACCACATTCATATGAGAGTGCTCGTGCAGCAAGCACTCAACTGTAGCACATTCTTCAGTTCACATCACACACGCACATCACCCATTCTTACAACACACACTCACCGGCAGCGTTCAATGGACCACCAGAGGCTGCCGAAGGTGATGTAAGGTGCGTTAGAGTGCTCGTGCAGCAACCCTTTAAGGGTCTGGGGCGGCTGAATGTAGAGAAACTCGTCGAAATCGGCAAAAAACACCCACCTGGAGGGTGAGAAAGGGAGAGATGACAACAGAATGCCTGTGTACTGCCGCCTCTTGAGTCGACTCAAAAGTCACTAAAGTAACTTTTGAGTCGACTCAGAAGTCGCCTAGGTCACTTCTGAGTCGACTCAAAAGTCACCTGAGAGAGGGAGAGATGACGACAGAATGCCTGTGTACTGCCGCCTATATCAATGAAAGGGTTTCGGGCTTTGGGAGAAGACGGCAGAGTGAGGATGCGGAATCTGTTTTTTTTTTAAATCCCAAAAACAGGATGCGAGAGAGAGTGTGTGTGTGTGAAAGGGGGAGTAGAACAGGGTAACATGTGGGGTGAGGGTCTGGGCGGTTGGATATAAAGGAACTTGTCAAAGTCAGGAGAGAACACTCACCTGGAGTAATGGAGGAGAGAGAGAGAGAGAGAGGGCAACACAGAGGGTGAGAGGGAGAGTGTGTCAGGACGAGTGAGAGAGGGTAGCAGGTTCAAGAGGAACTCGTCAAATTCACGAAAGAACACCCACCTGACGTGTGAGAGAGAGTGAGGGATGTGACCAAATGAGAGTGTGAAAAAGGTGAGCTTGCACAGGTGGCAGAAACAAACATGAGCTTATAAGAACATGAGCTTATAAGCGACGGATAGAGCAAGGGTGAAAGGAGGGGAGGATGGGACTTACTTGGAGACAAATTTCATTCGATAAAGACAGTTATTCAATACAAGCACGTTCTGCTTGGACTCATATCTGCTCCCAGATGCCCGGGGGGAGTGGAATGAAAAGCAGGAGGGGAATGGGAAGAACAGGGAGATGCAGTGCAGGAGGGAGCAGCACACAGGGAGTGAGCAGCATCACAGGGGGGATGGGGGACGACAGGTAGGGAAAGAGATTCGACAAAAACATCCCCTCTCTGCTCACCTTTCAGAGCCTCCCTTCCTCCCTAACGCCCTAGTTCCTTGTACACCACCCCACTCACTCACACCCCTTCAAACTCACTCGTACCCCTCCACACTCACTCCCCCACTCACTTGTACCCTCCCCGCATGTCCAATATCTCCATCATCCCCGCTGCCATGTACGGTTCCAGGACCTGAGTGAGGGAGCGAGTGGGGAGCGAGTGAGGGAGCGAGTGAGGGGTCAAGTGAGGGAGTAAGGGAGTGAATGAGGGAGGGAGGGAGGGAGAGAGGGAGGGGGGAAGGGATGGTGGGAGGGAGGGAGAGGGGGAGAGAGGGAGTAAGTGCGGAAGTTTGTTAGAGGGAGGGGTAGAGGGATTGAGTCCGCAAGGACGGAAGGGAGGGAATGAGTGAAGGAGAGAGGTACGCTCTTTGAGTCGACTATCATTATAACGTGAGTGAAGGAGAGGTGCAGACAATCATCACTTCTCCCTTCCTAGCTTCGTTAGCATGGCACAATCGTTCAATACAAGGGTACTATTCTATATATATGCCCTATATATATTCATCGTGCATATATATATATGTATATATACATATTCTTGTTAAAAGGGGCGAGCCGCGAAAATCTCGTGCTTTCTTACGCAGGTGATGTGCGCAGTGCAGGACATAAGAAAGAGTGCAACAAATCACCTCATATACGTCTTCGACGATAGAAGCACCGTCGTTGAGAACAAAATACTCCACGCCCAGGTAATGCAGGGCTATCTGGGGGGTGGGGTGCATGGTGTGGGGCACACGATGTAGGGCACATGGGGTGGGGCACGTGGTGTGGGGCACGTGGGGTGGGGGACAGGTTGTGGGGCACATGGTGTGGGGCACATGGTGTGGGGCACGTGGGGTGGGGCACAGGGTGTGGGGCACACATGGTGTGGAGCACAGGGTGTGGGGCACAGGGTGTGGGGCACACGGTGTGGGGCACATGGTGTGGGGCACACATGATATGGGGAAGAAGAAGTGACCTGAAGCACCGTCGTTGAGAACAAAACACTCCACGCCCAGGTAATGCAGGGCTATCTGGGGAAGGGAAGTGATAGAGGGAGGGTGGTGTGGGGTACATGGCGTAGGGCAGGTAGCGTGTGGGGAAGAAGGGAGGCCTGGGACAGAAGCACCGTCGTTGAGAACAAAATACTCCACACGCAGGTAATGCAGGGCTATCTGGGAGCGGGGGGAGGTGACTTTTGAGTCGACTCAAAAGTCAGCGGGGGGAGAGAGCGAGGACGGTGCGTGGACTGGGGTGTGAGAACAGAATACTTCACGCCCAGGTAATGCAGGGCTATCTGGGGAAGGGAAGAGATGGAGGAAGGGATGTGGCCGAGGTGTGAAGCTTATGCTGTGGGGCACACATGGTGCGGAAAGGACATATGGCGTATGGTATGGGGCCATATGGAATGGGGCATATGGTATGGGGCCATATGGAATGGGGCATATGGTATGGGGCCATATGGAATGGGGCATATGGTATGGGGCCATATGGAATGGGGCATATGGTATGGGGCCATATGGAATGTGGCATATGGTATGGGGCCATATGGAATGGGGCATATGGTATGGGGCCATATGGAATGGGCCATATGGTATGGGGCCATATGGAATGGGGCATATGGTATGGGGCCATATGGAATGGGGCATATGGTATGGGGCCATATGGAATGGGGCATATGGTATGGGGCCATATGGAATGGGGCATATGGTATGGGGCCATATGGAATGGGGCATATGGTATGGGGCCATATGGAATGGGGCATATGGTATGGGGCCATATGAAATGGGGCATATGGTATGGGGCCATATGGAATGGGGCGCACATGATATAATCAGCGCAGTCATACGTGTAACAACCACAGTCATACGTGTAACCCGCAGTCATACGTGTAACCAGCTCAGTCATACGTGCAACCAGCACAGTCATACGTGTAACCAGCACAGTTATATGTGTAACCAGCACAGTCATACATGTAACCACCACAGTCATACTTGTAACCAGCACAGTCATACGTGTAACCACCACAGTCATACTTGTAACCACCACAGTCATACTTGTAACCAGCACAGTCATACATGTAACCACCACAGTCATACTTGTAACCAGCACAGTCATATGTGTAACCAGCACAGTCATATGTGTAACCAGCACAGTCATACGTGTAACCACCACAGTCATACGTGTAACCACCACAGTCATACGTGTAACCAGCGCAGTCACACGTGTAACCAGCGCAGTCACACGTGTAACCAGCACAGTCATACATGTAACCAGCACAGTCATACATGTAACCACCACAGTCATACGTGTAACCAGCACAGTCATACTGGTAACCAGCACAGTCATACGTGTAACCACCACAGTCATACCGGTAACCAGCCCAGCCATGCATACCTGCAGCCACTCCTGGATGGTCTTTGGGTTGAGGTGGCGGTACAAGGGGTAGGAGCAGAAGGCCAGGTGGTATGGGGGGAGTTTTGAGTCGACTCAAAACTCGACTCACTACACTCTGATTGAGGTGGCGGTACAAGGGGTAGGAGCAGAAAGCCAGGTGGTAGGGGGGGGGGGGGGGGTTGCGTTGACAGGTGTGTGTGGTAACCAGCCCAGTCATACATGTACCCACTGCACCCAGCCATACCTGCAGCCACTCCTGGATGGTCTTGGGGTTGAGGTGGCGGTACATGGGGTAGGAGCAGAAGGCCAGGTGGTAGGGGGGAGGTGCATCGATGGCAAACTCGTCCTGCCCCTCCTCGTGCATCACCACTGCCTGCTCGTCTGTGGGATGGGGGGAGGTAAAGACCCATCTGCACCGATTTGAACCCATTTAGTTTCACCAAGGGAGGTGTATCGATGGCAAACTCGTCCTGCCCCTCCTCGTGCATCACCACTGCCTGCTCGTCTGTGGGATGGGGGGAGGTAAAGACCCATCTGCACCGATTTGAACCCATTTAGTTTCACCAAGGGAGGTGCATCGATGGCAAACTCGTCCTGCCCCTCTTCGTGCATCACCACTGCCTGCTCGTCTGTGGGATGGGGGGAGGTAAAGACCCATCTGCACCGATTTGAACCCATTTAGATTCACCAAGGGAGGTGTATCGATGGCAAACTCGTCCTGCCCCTCCTCGTGCATCACCACTGCCTGCTCGTCTGTGGGATGGGGGGAGGTAAAGACCCATCTGCACCGATTTGAACCCATTTAGATTCACCAAGGGAGGTGCATCGATGGCAAACTCGTCCTGCCCCTCCTCGTGCATCACCACTGCCTGCTCGTCTGTGGGATGGGGGGAGGTAAAGACCCATCTGCACCGATTTGAACCCATTTAGATTCACCAAGGGAGGTGCATCGATGGCAAACTCGTCCTGCCCCTCCTCGTGCATCACCACTGCCTGCTCGTCTGTGGGATGGGGGGAGGTAAAGACCCATCTGCACCGATTTGAACCCATTTAGATTCACCAAGGGAGGTGCATCGATGGCAAACTCGTCCTGCCCCTCCTCGTGCATCACCACTGCCTGCTCGTCTGTGGGATGGGGGGAGGTAAAGACCCATCTGCACCGATTTGAACCCATTTAGATTCACCAAGGGAGGTGCATCGATGGCAAACTCGTCCTGCCCCTCCTCGTGCATCACCACTGCCTGCTCGTCTGTGGGAGAAGGGGGAAGAAGGAGAGGGGGAGGGGGAGAGTAAAGACCCATCTGCACCCATTTGAACCCATCTCGCCTCCCAAAGGGAGGTGCATCGATGGCGAACTCGTCCTGCCCCTCCTCGTGCATCACCACTGCCTGCTCGTCTGTGGGATGGGGAAAGTGGAGAGGGAGGGAAGGAGGAAGGGAGGGAGGAATGGAGGGAGGGATGGAGCGAGAAAGGGAGGGAGGGAGAAAGGGAGGGAAGGAAGGAGGGAGGAAGGGAGGAGGGAGGGAAGAAGGGAGGGAGGGAGGTAGGAGAGAGGGAGGGAAGGAGGCAAGGAGGAACTGAAGGACGGACGGAGGATTGTAAAGAGGTGAAACCCAACTGGATGGAACCACAGCGATGAAGGCAATCCACGCAAATCTGAGGCTCTCTCACTCACCTTCACCACCCTCACTCCCTCCCTCACTCAGCCCCTACCTAGCATGAGAATGGCAGTGCCTCCAGTGGTGCCTGCGCTGTTGACCAGCAGAGTATTACTGAAGGCAATGCAGGAAAACCTATGAGCTCTCTCACTTAACCCACACTCGTACAGCAACTGCAGTGCCTAGAACTGACCTAGCATGAGAATCGCAGATCCTCCAGTGGTGCCCGTGCTGTTGACCAGCAGAGTACACTCGTAAATGGCAGTCTCGTACAGCAGCCAGTGGTGCTCCGCAGGGTAAATTACCCTCACTCTGCCCTCTGCGTACCCCCCATCCAGTGCTATCCAGTAGCACTTGCTGGCCTGCAAAGAGCACAATGGGAAAGAGAGGGGGGGAAAACACTTCAGATATCAAGTAGCAAAATGGAAAAAGGGCATAAAAGTGGTCTCAGATCAAATAAGAAAAAGAAGATGGGCATAGAAGTAATCAACCCCATTGCGTGTCAACTCATCCCTCCCACTGCGTGTCAACTCATCCCTCCCACTGCGTGTCAACTCACCCCATTGAGTGTCAACTCACCCCATTGAGTGTCAACTCACCCCATTGAGTGTCAACTCACCCCATTGAGTGTCAACTCACCCCATTGAGTGTCAACTCACCCCATTGAGTGTCAACTCACCCCATTGAGTGTCAACTCACCCCATTGAGTGTCAACTCACCCCATTGAGTGTCAACTCACCCCACTGTCTGAGACCTCACCCCACTGCGTGTCAACTCACTTGCGTGTCAACTCACCCCTCTGCATGTCAACTCACCCCGCTTCCTCCCTCTTCCTTTAGATCACGCAGCGAGTGACCCACAGCCGCAAACTGGTTAGCACCGATGCGGTAACCACCCGCCATGACGAACCGGTGCTGGCCAATGGGAGCGCCCGAGACAGGTGGCGGCTCCTGATAGGCCCGCTGCAGAAACGGCCGTTTTGTGAGGCAGGGATTGGATATTGATCCGATGTGGCGCATGTTACCCCCTTCCAGGTCAGCATCTGAGAGGAGAAGGATGGGAAGGGGGAGGAAAAGGATCGTGAGGATGGGAAAAAAGGAGGAGGAAAATAAAAATCAGAACAAACAAAAAACAAAAGCTAAAAAAAGGCCCTGCTTAGCACCCCTCACCCGTTATAAGCACCTGTTCTGTACTCGAGTTTCCTTGTATTAAGCTCCTCAGGTTGACCCGGTAAAAACACCCCTTGCTTCTGCACCTGCTGTCAAAGCCTCTTATTCAGCTTTGCCTGAGGCGGGGGAGAAAGAAATGGTTTCCGCCTAACAGCTCCTCCCCCACGTCCTCCCCCGATCAACCTTCCCCCCGCTCCCCCTCGCGTCCATCCTTCCCCTTTCCCCTGGTCCGAGCGCCTGGAATTCTCGTAAGAACCGGCGCCATTCCCGCCGTGTTTCGCGCCGCTGGTTCCCGGATGTCCGCGCTGCTGGCGCATCAGCTGCTTCCGCGCAAGCTCCGCGCTGGACTGGCGGAGGAGCTTCTCACGGTCGTAGCTGGCGGAGATGTTGAGAATGGCCAGGAGAATCAGCGACGGCCCGAACAGAACAATACACGTAGTTAATAGCGAGACGCGAGGACGACCTGATGTTTCTCTAGGTGATGCTGCTCCTTCCGGATCAGATTTTCCTGCTGCTGACGGTAACGCGGAGGAGGAAGCGTGTTGGTCTGGTTTATTAAGTACCAGCTTAGCAACTTCTGATTTACTGGGGACTTTTTGAAACGAAGCGACATTTCGACGGTGTGTCGTCGACGACGAGCCGCTGTCTTCGCCAGGGTAACCCTCCGACACCATTTTCGCTCAGAAAAAAGAAATACACCTGCCGGAAGCTCTGTGGGTAACAGATGTAACAGAAATGACGCCCGAAGCGCCGTCGCAGTATGTTAAACGCGGACACTGAATGACTGCAGGTGTCTCGGCCGACATTCTCCCGCATATACCCCAATGCAGCTAACCAATTATCATTCTGAAGTCGAATGAATAATTACCTCCTTCATGTGCCTCAATTCCAGCAAATTTGGACCTCTGTCAACAAGAGCTAGAACGTTCATTTCTGGTTCCACAAAAAACACTTCATCACGCCATGAGAACTACGCTACCACCAGCCAAATTGGCGGTTACAGAGAATTCTCACGAACTAGGTACCTGGTAGGTACACCAATTAAAGCCACTGGTAGTCAGGTCATTCATGCCAGAATATGATGGTGGCAGTCCTAGTTTGCTGGAGAATAATGCTCAAACAGTACCTTCAAATATTCTCCAGATAGTCCTATTGTGAAGTCACCCGAGTTAACTTTATGTCTAGTACAAGCGGTTGAGTACGATAATGTGCATTCTGAAGCGTTTTTCTAGCTTCACCGCTTTGTACAGCTAGTCACCATCCTGAAAACCTTGATTCATGAACTGTGAACGAACTCTTCTGAAGGCAGGTGCAGCATGGCATGGTGGGGTTCGAGAAGCCAGGTTCAACTCTCTAGCAAATGAACGGTTTGGTATGTTCCAGGTAGCACGAGAGCGGTGCGGCTAGGTGTCGGGGAGTAAAAGAAGCACCACCACATCTTACATGTGAATAGAAACGTCCTCAGCTAAACCCTGTGCACTATTTTGGAGTCATCGGATTCAAGGCAGGAGTTATTCGATTCTCCAATCAAATGTGTTGCAGGTCTCTGTTCCGTTCCCGTTGGCACAATCTAGGACCACAACTTGCACTCTTCCGACCGTCGATCCGACAGATCCGACTGAAGGTCCTCATTTCGATCGTTTTAGTGTACGTAAAATCAGGACCTCCAGTTGCACCTCGTAGGCCCTGTTCGGTAGCCCTCCCAGTCATACTGCGGTTGGTGCGTGGGATCTTCTGTTTCCTAGATTCAAATCGATTAAGGCCCAACAAACCGTTATTAGAACACCGAGCCTGTCCAGTGCAACTGGGCTACCGAACGCATAAAAACCCCACTTCAACTGCGTGCTAGGACACTACCACGAAACTGTCGCGCCCAGGCAAACTCGACAGTCAGTGGAAGTCCCTCCCATTTCAGCTTTCCAGTTCAACCCAGGCAGGCCCGCTCAGAGTGGCAGGCTGGAGGGTATACGCTGCACTAGTTTCGAATCGGGTCAAATTAAGGTTTTTTAGCACGCTCTTTCAAACAATGAGAGATCGTGCCCGTTCCTGATTTTCCATATCCATATCGACGGTTTCTCATTTGGCGGACTGACTTTTTGTTTGTGGGTGGGGCAGCTTCGTACAGCAGTAAAAGTTTCGGCAAGTAATTTCCCACGAAACGTACGGTAACTTCTTGCATTTGGGAACGGAACCTCTTTTCAGTGTGAGTGGACGCCCGAGGCTGCGAAACACGTCGTAGGCTTCCCCAGTTCGAGTGGGCCCAGTGTAACTGGAAGGCTACCGAACAGGGCCGTAGAGTCTGAAGTACAGTCTAAGTCCCAAACCTGTAAGAAATTTGATTCTCTCCACTAAACAAAGCAAACTTGCATCCAGTCTATAGTGATATACCACCAGCTGAAAACTCTGGAACCTGCACACACAATAGAGGAAAGGGAGGCAAACTTGTGTTGCTAAGACAGACTTGTGTTCACATCAAGAGAAAAGACAATGCCTTGATGAGTACGAAGAGGAAACGAAAGAGAGAAATACTTTAAAAAAGGAAACAATTTCAAACACAAAGCGACCTGCAACTTCTAAATCACAACAGCAGCTTACTGGTCTGGGAGGGAGTGATGAAATCCAGTCAGCAGGACGAGTCGGAAGCAATCCCAATCCATTCAACTGCGTGGTAGGAAAATGCAACCAGGAAAGATAGCTCAAGAAATTATTCGGAAAGAGCAAGCAACCGAAGCAAGAAGGCCTAGAGCTCAAAATTACAAGGAATAGCAAGGAGTAGCTAGGGGGGTAGCAAGGGGGTAGCAAGGGTTGCACGGATAGTAAGGAGTGGTATGCGGTAACAAGCAGTGGCAAGAGAGGAGCACCTTCCAGAGGCCGATGGAGAGGAGGAAGAGGTTGACTGCGGCATACATCATCTTTGGCAGCACCACATCCACCTTGGGGTCCTTGAACGGCTCAAATGCTGCAGGGGAGGAGGAAGGGAAGAAATCCGCACATGAAACAGCACAGTAACACAAGCGCATGAATAGCAGGCCCACGGAGGAATAGAGAGTTGACTCAAACATACATCTTCTTGGGCAGCCCAACGTCCACCTTGGGATCCTTGAACGGCTCACACGCTGCAGAGGGGATGGGGAACAGCACATAAAACACACACGCATGACACTCAAGCACATGAATAGCAGGTCGATGGGAAGGAGGGAACGGTTGACTGCCGTGCACATTAGCTTCGGCAGCACCGCACCACGCCCACCTTGGGGTCCTTGAACGGCTCAAACGCTGCAGGGGAGAGGGGGGGAAAGGGGGGGGAGGGGAGGAGGGGAGGGTAGGGGGATGGGGGGGTGGGGGGGTGGGGGGGAAGAAAAACAGATGGTTTTTTAGTCGACTCAGAAGGTACCTTGGGGTCGTTGAACGACGCAGCAGAGGCTGCAGGAGGCGGGGAAGGAAGGGGACCGCCCAAGGGAACTGGAATAGGTGGCAGCGTTGATGGTCCTGAGGGCGGAGATGGGCTGCCAGAGGTTGGAAAGGTAATTCCGATGCTGAAAAGGTGCACTGAGCTACTATAGTTCTGAGACACCCAGAAAGAAGATGATGGTCCGGTAGCAGCGCTGATGGTCCTGAGGGCAGAGATTGGCTGCCAGAAGTTGGAGAAGGTGATTCCGACGCTGAAAGTGTGCACGCTACTAAAATTCTGGGGCCCTCAGACATATGTGCAGGCATGGACTGAGACACCCAGACACATGCCTGCATTGATGGTCCTCAGTGCCGAAACCGGTTGCAAGAGGCTGGAGACAGTGACCGTGCTGAAGCTGTGCATTGAGCTACTATTGTTCTGAGACACATACCCGCATTTCTGGTCCGTAGGAGGATACCCGCGGAGACGGATGCCAGAGGATGGAGCAGGTGATGCCGCTGCTGAAGATGCAAATAAACACACTAGAAATCAGAAACACCCAGAAACATGTGTAGGCATGAGCTGAGACACCCAGACTGACCAATACCATACCAGCATTGATGGTCCGTAGCGCTGAGATGGGTTGCCAGAGGATGGAGAAGGTGATTCCGATGCTGAAAAGATGCACTGTACTGCCAGCCATCCAAAGCATGAATCCCATCATGAGGAGATTCTTGGTGGGAGACTGGGCCAGAGCCCATGCACGCTGAAAGAGGAAGGGAAATGGGGTCACAAATTGAAAAATGGGATGCTGAAAAGATGCACAGTGCTGCCGGCCATCCAGAGCATGAATTCCATCATGAGCAGATTCTTGGTGGGTGACTGGGCCAGAGCCCAGGCACGCTGAAAGAAGAAGGGAAACGGGGTCACAAGTTGGACAATGGGATGGTGAAGATGTGCCCGGTGCTGCCAGGCCAGCCATCCAGAGCATGAATCCCATCATGAGGATATCCTTGGTGGGAGACTGGGCCAGGGCCCAGGCACGCTGAAAGGGGAGCAAACGCAGAAGAGCACTTCGAATACAGCTGCCAACCATCCAGAGCATGAATCCCAGCATGAGGAGATTCTTGGCAAGTGACTGGCCCAGGGCCCAGGTACGCTGAAAGGAAAGGCAATGAGGAGAGGAAAAACGGGAAACGAGGGGGGAAGTGAACAGAACATGAATTCCATCCAGTTTGCTGTGAAATGATCGGGCCCTACTCACCTCCTGCTTCTTTGCTGGGTCAAGGGCCTTATCTTTCTGTGTCAGCGCCTTGGATCCGCTGCCACTGGACGCCTGATTCAAGCACAGGCGATACAAGAACCACACACTTTAAGCACACGCGATACAATCACACAAGATACGAGTACATGCACCACCTACAATAACAGTGAATACCTAGAACCTGCACGAGACGGAAGCACTTAACGGGCGCATGAGTCTATATCAGAGCCAAAGCGGATCATGGGCCTATCGCGAATTCTGACCGTCTCGGGAACGGTTACACGCATCCGGTTACCAGATTACAGTTACGAGCAGTTACTCGCTCACCAGTTCTGCCGCGTTTCGGTTGAATCCAGGCGGATCGGGAACGTCCCTCGAGATCCCCGACGCTGCGTCCGCCAGGTCGACGGCCCATCGGCGCGCTTCCTTCTTCCCGTTCGCAGACATGCCTCACGACTGTCGCAAGAGTACGAGGTTTCCAGGCGCTGCGACGAACGCCTGAGACGTTTTAACGACAAGCCGAGCGACAAGCTACGACATACGACGACACGCGAGGATAAACGCAAGCGCAAACAGGCGGTTGCTTATTTGAAAGGATGTCGATATTTTACAAAGACGACTCAAAATGCCCAATATAACGTGCTCCGATATGTCTGCGAGTTTATTGTGACAGTCCCTAACTGGCTGACAGTACCGCCTTGGGTATGTCGGCACCACCGTACAGCAATCTGACTCCGCTACACCTTGAAGAAAACGCAGTTTCGAGATCGCACCCCATATGAAACAGAGATTGACCAGGTAAATTGTAAAATTATCAGCAACACAAATTAGGATTCACACCTGCACTGTAGTGGTGGACTGATACACTGTACGGAACCTATGTAGAGCATGTGTTACGGGTGCAATGAATCGAAGTAGCGAGAATTGCACTAAGGTGTCAAACGAGTACAAAGATGTGAGCGAAGGCATGAGCGAACATTTATATGCGAAGCATGCAAACGGTAACGCGGTGCGTGCGAGCTAGCTAGTGCTATGCTGGCAGCGAGGCTCGGGCTAGTCCCGAAGCGTAGGCCGACACGGCCGGGCCAGCAGTGCGAGGTTTGGTGAAACAGTGCGCGCGAAGTCGGCGAAGTTCCGTTATCAGTAACGGGCGAACAACGGCTTTTGCTGTACGCGATGTAGTCGGGCTCCGTAAGGAATGCCGAGAAAATTCCTTACACTACCACCCCCCCTCAAGAAGCCCCCTCCGCTAGGCGAGTGCATGTATGTCGCGGAATCCCCGGCTCCTCAGGTACACTTGCAGGGCAGGGTGGTTTTCAATGTTGGCCAGGGGCACCCAGCTATCCTCAGTTGGCGTGCGGTCCTTCCAGCGAACGAGGAATTCAATCCTCCTGATTCCCGTGGGGTGTCGAATCCGATGGCTCAGGATTTTTTCGGGCTCAATGATCGGCTCCGATGCAGGGCGAGTCATGGATGGCGGGCGGTGGCGAGGCAATTGGCTTGTGGTTGGGATGTATGGGCGAAGCAAGCTGACGTGGAACGAGGGGCTGATGTACCAGTCGGTCGGTAACAGTAGGTGCGCGGTTACTGGCGTGATCATGTGGCTGATTTGGAATGGGCCACAGTAGCGCGGTCGTAGTTTTGGCACGTCGGGCAGTCGCAGGTTTTGCGTGTCGAGCAGTACGTAATCCCCTTACTGGTAGGTGACGGGTCGGCGGTGGCGGTCAGCGTTGCGCTTAGCGATGACATTTGTTTTTTTAATTGCTTCTGCGGCTCTGGTGCGGGCAGCTTGCAGAATTTCGGCGAATTGTTGTGCACATGGTGTCGGATTGTCCGGACTCGGCGTCATGGGCACTGTAGGATTTTGCCCGTAGTTCAGGTAGAAGGGGGACTGCTGCGTCGTCGCTGACGTGGCGTTGTTGTACGCGAACTCGATCAGCGGCAGCTGCTGTTCCCAAGTCGTGGGGTCGTCGCACGTGGCACGAATCAACTGCTCCATCGTCTGATTCGTCCGCTCCGTTTGGGGGTGGTACGACGAACTGAACTGTAGCCTGGTCCCGAACTGCTCCCAGAGGTTTTTCCAGAAGTTGCTGGTAAACTTCGTGTCCCTGTCGCTGATAATCGCTGCTGGTATCCCGTGCAGGCGGACAACGGCTGCGATGAACAGACGAGCGGTCTCCTCGGCTGAGATCGACTTTTTGCACGCAGCGAAGTGTGCCATCTTCGTCAGCCTGTCAACGACGACCATCACCGCGTCGTTACCCCCATGGTTCGAAGGTAACCCTGTGACGAAGTCCATGGTAACCTGCTGCCAGGCGCGCTCGGGCGGTGGTATCGGCTGCAATTGACCCGCCTTCCGCTTCCTCGAGCTCTTCATCACCTGACACGTGGGGCACGAGCCCACGTGCTGTTGTACGTCGGTCAACAGCTCCGGCCAGTAATAATACCGCTGCAGTTGCTGTCGCATTTTTTCTAGCCTAAAGTGTCCCGAGGTAATTCCGTCGTGTGCCTCCTGCAGTAGCAGCTCCCTCAGTAGTGAGTACGCAGCTACCCAGATGCGGTTGGTGCCTGTTTTTACGTAATAAACTCCTTTAGCTTCTGCCAGTTGCTGTGAGTTTCCAGTCGTGAAAAATGGGTCGGTGCGGTATCCGTGGGTGAATAGGCCTGTTAACAGCGGGTTGGTCTGGGCGAGTAGGATGGCGTGGAGTTGGGCGGTAGGGCGGGTGAGTGCGTCGGCGATGTTGGATGCGCCTTTCTTGTACGTAACCGTGTAGTGGAAGTTGGACTCGAGGTAGTCCAGCCAGCGAATTTGTCGCGGATTGAGATTTGGTTGGGCGCGTAAGTACTGTAGTGATCGGTGGTCTGTCCGTACTGTCACGTCGGCGCCAGTCAGGTAACACCGCCAAACCTTGAACGCGTGCACGATCGCCAACATTTCGCGGTCGTGTATCGGGTAGTTGCGTTCGGGCGGGTGCAGTTTGCGGGACTTGTACGCGATTGGCTGGAGGCCGTTTTCGAAATCCTGCAACAGTACTGCTCCCACAGCGATGTCACTTGCGTCAGTGACGAGCTCGAACGGACGGTGTGGATCTGCGATGTGAAGCACGGGCGGTGAGCACAAAATGTTTTTGAGGGCCGAGAAGGCAGCTTGCTCTTTCTCCCCCCACGTGTACTCAACCCCCTTCCTCAGCAGGTCAGTCAACGGGGCAGTCAGCTTCGCCATGTTGGGGACGAACCGGCGCACGTAGTTGACGAACCCCAGAAAACTCTGCAACTCTGTCAAGTTGGTCGGCGCGTGCCAAGCCTGAATCGTGGCAATTTTCTTCGGGTCTATTTCCACTCCTGCGGCTGAAATAACGTGTCCAAAAAACTCCAGACGGTCCTGTAAAAATTCACACTTAGACGCTTTTGTCAGTAGGCGGTTCTCACTCAGTATTTTAAAAACGGCTTCGATGTCCTGTAAGTGCTGTGCTCTGTCAGGGCTGTAAATCAGTATGTCGTCCAGGTATACTATGACGCACTTATCTAAGAGTGGGCGGAAAGCTTCGTTCATGGTCATTTGGAAAGTGGCGGGGGCGTTGGTCAGCCCGAAGGGCATGACGGTGTATTCGAAGGATCCGTAGCGTGTTCGGAATGCGGTTTTAGGGCAGTCGGGCGGATTGACACGAATCTGATGGTAACCCCCCCGGAGGTCGATTTTCGAGAAAACCCGGGCTGTGCGCAGTTGGTCGATCAGTTCGTCGGCTCGTGGGATGGGGTAACGGGATTTGATGGTAACCCTGTTCAGTGCTCTTTAATCGATGCACATGCGAAATCCCCCGTCTTTTTTCGGTGTAAACAGTATCGGTGCTGCGAAAGGCGACGAACTAGGGCGAATGAACTCCTTCTCGAGCAGGTAATCGAGCTGCTTCCTCAGTTCGTCCAGTTCGGGCTGGGTCAGTCGGAACTGTCGCTGTACTGTTGGCTGTGCCCGCGGTTCCAATTCTATTCTGTGATCGTGCGGTCGCTGAGGTGGCAGTCCCGTCGGTAAGTCGTCCGGGAAAATGTCGCTGTACTGCTTCAACAGTACTGCCAGGTCACTCGGTACGTCGGTCAGCAGTTTCTGCAAATCCCCTCCCTTGTCTGCTGCCTCGGCTTCCCGAATGTCGACCGCGTACACGTCAGCTCCCGCCGCTACGGCGCGTTTCATCGTGATCGCGTTGACACGCACCGACGAAGACTCAGGCGAGCCCCAGCGAGGTAGGGCGATGTGGTTACCGTTCACTCGCACGGTGCAGTCACCCGTCGTCCAGTCGATTCGCGGATTGTGTCGTCGCAACCAATCACGCCCGAGTAAAATATCGGTTCCGTCGAGGGTCGTTGCGAGCATTTCTTGGCTAAATGTGAAGTTACCCCCGCATCGAATCCGAACCCGGACTACGCGTTCCCGTATTGCCAGCCGCGTGCCGTCTACCAGTCGTGCGTCGATCTCAGGTAAACATCTGTCCAGTGGCAGTCGCAGTTTTCGTGCTGTAGCAGTGTTGATGAGGCTGTGGCTGGCTCCCCCGTCTACGAATATTTTAACTAAGTCCGTCCTGATTTTCCCACTAAGCAGTATAGAGCTGTCTACCGTAGTACCCTCCTTATTCGGCCGGGTGTGGTCGATTGCGTGAACCGGCACAATCACTCGGTGAGGGTCGGTTGGGTCGGGCGAGCGGCGTGACCTGTCAGTAGAGGGCCCGTCTGCTACTGACTCCCAGCGTTTCCCTGCTGCTTGGTCTGTTTCTGCTGCTCAGCTTCCCCCTTTCCCTTAGCGTTTTCCGGGCATTCGCTCTTGCGGTGTCCCGGCCGATTACACGCGAAGCAGCGCCCCTTGAACGGTGCGGCAGCGGCATTCGCGGCGACGGCACGTATCGTAGCGCCCTCGTTCGTCCCACGAGACCGATGTCCCCAGTTGCTGCTACAGCCGTAGGACCCCGGTCTCGGTCGGCGGAAGAAGTCGAGCTTCTCCGCCATAGCGAGAATCTCCTGAAAATCGGTGACGCCGCGAAGCTGAATTTCTTGAGCGATGTCGTGCTTCAGGCTGCCGATGTAGCGGTCGATGCGCTCGCTCTCATGCATGTAGCCCACTTGCTCGCATAGCGCCAGGAACCCGCTGGTGTAGTCCTGGACGGAACCGAGTTGGCGCCAAGTGCGGAGCTTCTGTCGCGCCGCGATCGAAGCCGCAATTGGCTCAAATCGAGCGCGCAGACCTGCGCACCACGCGTCCCACGTGCGATATTGGGGCACCTCCACGAAATACGACGGCGCCCAGGGTCCGGTTTGTCCTTCCCGTGTTGGTAGAGTCGCGTAGTCATTCGGCTTCGTGACGATGACGCGCCACCAGTCCATGGCGGGTCCTCGCAGCAGCGACACGGCGTAGCGGATTTTCGCCGCATCCTCCGAGACGTAGTTGGCGTCGAAAAACACGTTCATCGTTAACAACCACGCCTGAACGGTAGGACCACCCCGTTGACTCGGATCAAAGCATGGCGGACGCTGCGGCTTCAGCGGCATCGGTGACGGCAGTCCCGAATCGTGGGTCGGTGCCGAAATCGTGACGCGAGGTTGACTTGGGGCCGCATTCGTCGCTCCGGGGTGTGTCGTGCCGTGGTCGTCGTCTCCGTCGGGGCGGACGACGCCATCACTGGCCGCGCTCGCGGGTTGCCCCACACTTCCGTGCTGTGATGTCTGTGGTGCGGGCTGAATCGGAGTGCCAGGTGCTTGGGACTGTGCCCTTGTGAGGTCGTTTTGCAGGGACGAGCGTTCTGCCGTCAGCGTCGCAATTTCCTCGGCGCTCTCGCGGATTTGTCGCAGCAGATCGTTCAAATGCTCCTGCGTGAGAGTCGTGACGTCGATGTGTTCGGCCATTTCGAAGGACGTCGGCTCGTCTTAGTCTAGGCGCAGTCGTGGCTGCACGCGTTTACGAGAGAACGCGAGGACAGCGGCTCCTAGGTGCTAAGGTACGTAAGTCCCTTCGAGTGAAAAATCAAAAGTTGATTTCCTGGGGTGCGGAGATGCGCGGTCCGAAAGAAAGGGGCTCTGATACCAAGTGTTACAGGTGCAATGAATCGAAGTAGCGAGAATTGCACTAAGGTGTCAAACGATGTGAGTGAAGGCATGAGCGAACATTTATATGCGAAGCATGCAAACGGTAACGCGGTGCGTGCGAGCTAGCTAGTGCTATGCTGGCAGCGAGGCTCGGGCTAGTCCCGAAGCGTAGGCCGACACGGCCGGGCCAGCAGTGCGAGGTTTGGTGAAACAGTGCGCGCGAAGTCGGCGAAGTTCCGTTAGCAGTAACGGGCGAACAACGGCTGTTGCTGTACGCGATGTAGTCGGGCTCCGTAAGGAATGCCGAGAAAATTCCTTACAGCATGTCAGATCTGGACGCACAACCCGTACATTGTTTAGCGGTGGCAACTTTACCTACGGTATATGGAAGACAGGGAACAATGCCCTAACGCACTCAATTTGACTTCAAACCATTCGCACTCCGTATCCTCCGCAAGTCAGCAAATTGCTGACTGAAGCAGCCGCCTTAACTAGCGTAATCAGGCGCGGCCGAGACCATAGGCGGTGCTCTGTACTGTACACCAGGAAGCAGCCTCCACTGCTAAGCTTCTGCTTCACATCCCCAGGTTAAACAAGAAAAAAAGAAGCACTTGTTACAATTCAAACGCCTGCTGCTGGGTGGTAGACAGGCACCTTGCAGGTCTCTCAACTCGGCACCAGCACCGCAGACTGCGGTAGGCAGTAACCAGCACAGCAGAAATGCAGACTCCAGAGCAGGCATGACTGATGAGTCATAACCCAGGTCATGCTTTCGCCGGCCGTTTAGTACAATGCTGTGCTGAGCCATTGACGGAATGGCCACAGGCTGGTTGGCTGTTGTGCAGCAGGAGAATGGCAGTTGGTCAAGCAGGAGTGAAAGTCGAGGCATTGTTGTTTCCACTACCGTTTGCACGGCTGGCATCACTGTTGTCGCTACTGCTGCTGTTCGCAGTGCTACCACTGGTACTGCTGCTGCCACAGCCGCTGCCACTGCTGCTGCTTTCAGTGTTGCTGCTGCTGCTGCTACCGGCACTACCACTGCTCCCACTGCTGCTAGTAGCAGCGCTGGGCGGGGCAGTGATGTCGTATTTGCAAAGGGGGCAGGTGGGGCGGGTGCGCAACCACTTGTCAACGCAGGCGGAGTGGAAGTGGTGCGAGCAGGGCAGCTCCCTCAGCAGCACTGCGTCCTCGTATGGCCCCAGGCAGATGCAGCACTCCTGGGAGGATGAGAGGATGGGAAGATGGGAGGGATGGGAGGATGAGAAGGGAGAGGATGAGGAAAACATGAGGGGAAGGGTAATGGGTCTGAGCAGCACCAGCACTGCGTCCCCATGTGCTCCCAGGCAGATGCGGCGATTCTGGGAGAGAGAAAAGGCGGACAACTGTGCATCACAACTGGGAGGGAGCTAAGAGCGAGAAGGGAGAGAGGATAACGCAATGGTGGAAACTGAGGATGGGAAACTCAAAAACACATTCAGAGTGGTGCAAAAATGGAATCGCCAAGAAAAGAGTGTGAAGGGGAGGGGGGAGGAAGGGTTGGGGGGAAGAATGGCGAGAAGAGATACAGCAAAGGGAGCTGAGAAGGAAAGTGCCAACCCACCCCATCCCCAACCCACTTCATCCCCAACCCATTCCATCCCCAACCCACCCCATCCCCAACAGACCAAATCCCCGCCCACAGCAACGGGTATCAACGTACCGCATCATCGTCTGCCACTTCTCTCTCCCGCGGCGGCTGGCTCGACCCTCCCACTTGCGTCATAACGCCCCCTGCCGGCTCGTCGATCGTCACCCGAACCTCCTCCTTCCCCTCGGCACCCGCACTGGCCGTTCCCTTTCCACTGCTGCCCCCCGTATCACCACTTCTGTTTCCATCATCACAGCTGCTACCCTTCGCCGCACTGCTATTTAGCCCACTACTGCTGCTGGCGTTGGTGGTGGTGCTGCTGCTGGTGGTCGCAACGCCTAGCGCCTCCGTGATGGCGGAGAGGGCGGCGGACGCGGTGAGCGGGCGGCTGCTGCTAGACGGAGAGCCTCGCCGGCGGAACTTGAACTGCGGGAGGGACTGAATCTGCTCGTTCGTGGCACCTTCCTGTTCGCCCATGGCATAGAGAACCGCGATGATGCAGGGCAGGCAGCAGCACACGGCGATGCCCACCAGACACGCGAGCGCGATGCAGAAGATGACGAAAAACACGTCGAACGCCAGAAACGACATGCACACCCTGCGGATTGGGTTGCCGGGGAAACGGTGGAATTTGAAATGTTATGGCGCGTGAATCACCACCGCAACGACGTCGAGAATGAGAGAGCAAGAAACGACATCCACACCCTGCGGACTGTGATTTGGAAAAACGGTGGGGTTTAAACGGCTTATGCCGTGAATCACCACCACAAAGACGCCGCATATGGGAGCGTCTAGATGCAAAACCATCAGGAAAGAATGGGAGCGTCTGAGAAAGTTTTACCAGGAAAGAATGGGAGCGTCTTCGAAGGTGTCGTCGAATGTGGAGATGATCCACGCGAACCCGACGGACCACCAGAGGAACGAAAAGACGGTGTTCGCCGACTCGATTTGCTTCGCAATGCTGCGAGCACACACACAGGCAAGAAAAGCAGTCCAAGATCCCGGCACTGAGTTGCTGGGTGTTGCACTGGTACCATCAAGCAAAGCGACGACCGACGACCGAAGAGCGACGACCGACGACCGACGACCGACGACGACAATGAACGCAAAGATAACATCGCCGTTACTTTTGCGTCGCGCCACGAAAAGGCCACATATGCGTTCGCCAGCAGTACCTGTCAATCCGATCATCTTCCATCCGCTGCTCCCCCGTACTCCCCTCCGCTTCCTCCTCCTCGTCATCGCTCCCTCTTTGCAACAACCCCTCTCGAATATCCCCCGAACTCCCACTCCCCCCTGCTCCCCCTCCCCTGCCTCCCCTCCCTCCTCCTCCGCTCGCGCTCCGCAACCCGCGGAGCCCTCGTCTGCTGCTCCTGCTCGCTCCGCCGCTCCTCCTCGCCCGACTCCGGTCGCTCCTGCGCTCCTCCGCTCCGCCTTGCTGCCGGCGGTCGAACTCCACGAGCACGCAGACGATGTGGATGATGCACTGCGCCGAGTACCCCATGAGCCACACGCCCAGCGGAGCGGCCGGTTCCTCCTTGTGGTTGCGGCTCACGGAGAGCGTCGCGATGGCGACGAGAACGAAGATGAGGTTCCAGAGCGTGTCGAGGAGCACGATGGGACGGGAATAGGCCCAGTTGCTCTGGCGCTCTTCCAACTGCAGCAGAGAGAGAAGACAGAGCAGGACAGAGCAAGAAGATGAGGTTCCAGAGCGTGTCGAGTAGCACGATGGGACGGGAATAGGCCCAGTTGCTCTGGCGTTCTTCCAGCATAAAGAAAACGGCATAAAGAAAGAAACGAAGAGAGAAAACTAGGTACGGCGAGAAACGGAAAGGTGACAGAACTTTGACAAGAAACAACAAGAAAGAACGTGTAAAGAAGGAGCTCATCAGCTGCGTACCTCTTCCGACGCCGTATCGCGAACCCGTATGGACTGCTGCCGCATCAACCGCTGGCTGCTCGCCTGACGAATCAGCCTCGCCGCTCCTAACGCGACCGCACCTCCCGTTCTAGGCACCGAACCCGACGGGACTGCTCTTGTCTCGCTTCCTGGTGATAATGTCAAATCCTCAGATGAATTTCCGCTCCCTATACTTATCAGTCGAAAACTACTGCTATCGCCGGCGATGGCTCCTCTGAGGCTCTGACTCCGACCGCTTCTGCCTCGACTGCTTCTGCTAGCGTTAGTCGCGTCGCTGTTAGTATCAATGACGGTATCCATGGAAGAGACTGGCTCCATGATTTGCGCTCTATCTGTGACGCTGTCACGGATGTCACGGACGCTATCTGCAGAGATGTTCCTATTGGTAGAGTCAGACTGGCCTATTGGCTCGAGACTAGAGCTTGGAGAGGTAGCGTCACCATCGTTTCTTCTCTGTTGTGACATCACGTTAACGAGGTCCCTAACAGGCGTCGCAATAATCTAATGAGAAACCTGAGATGGAGATTCTAATCCTAGCACTCCTATTCTCCGGACCTGCATAAAACTCCAGGATTGGCGAAATAGATTTAGGATTCGTACACAGAAGCACTACAAATGAACGTGCACCAGGAACGGAAACTCACACGAGGATAAAGCTCCCTTGAATTCGAAAGATCACAGCTAGCTGATGAAAAGAGAACCCAAAAGCAACAGAAGTCAGCCACAGACCCTGTTAGGACCTGGCTAATTTGTTCAAGCAAGCATGTCTCCCTTGTCTCGAAATCAAGCTCAGCAAAACTCCGACAGGAGAAAGAAGCGGAACATAGAGGGATGCAACTGTGCTGAGATAAGTGGCCAGGAACAGTGGCAGGGGGGTGCTGGTGGTAAAGAGTGTCCCTTTCAGAACAAATTGCACCGTATTGAACCGTTTTGAAGGCCTTTGCATCCTTTTGTTCCAAAGTGGATTCAAGTGCTCTGTTCGTTCAAGATGCAGCTCTTTCCAGCTTTCCGAAGGAGTCGAGGCTGTACAGTACGTAGCTGCTCGGCAAAGCTCCTCCCCTTCTTCGTTTTGCCCTGGGAGTTCCGCGAACACCCTTGAATTTGCAAAGCGGGCGGAGGATGAGGTCGGGGAGCGGGGTTGCAGGTTTCGGATTGGAGGGAGATGCGGAGATTGGTTCACGGGCGCGGAATTGGGGGGATTGTGTGCAGAACTGGATTTCGAAGGCGGTGGCTTGGAGGGAAATCAGCATGGAAAGTGGGGTGCACGGGCAGCATGTGGGGCATTGAGGCAAGTGGACGAGACGAAACTCGAGAGGGGCGTCGTCGATGAGGGAAATTTTGAGGATGCGAGCAGCAAGTGGAGGAAACCAGGATTGAACAGCCCAGGCATTCCTTGCGAAGGCGTTCCGACTTCTCTGACGACGTCTCATATTTAGGTCTTAGAACCATGCTTAACCACGTGAATTACTTCTCCATATTTTTGTACCAAACAAAGTACTGTTGGAACCGTACTGACTGAATCATTCTGACATCCCTGGTGAGGTCAGGCAGGGTGGAAGCGAGGGCTATTGCCGACTTTGGCTGGAAGCAAGAAACACTCCGCTTGGTGCGCAGAAGTGTGGTTGGTGGGTCTGTGCTGTGGTCGTCTGTGCAAAACGCCAGGGAACGCGTTTCGTTGAATCGGAGGGCGCAGCGCTGCGCAGCAGGACTCAGGTCAGGAGGAACCCAGCCCTGGCTGGTCAACACCTTGAGTGGACGGTACGGTGGACTGACTTGTGTCGTATCGCACGCTGCTACGACAGTCGCACCTCCCAAGGTGCGACAGCGACTCGACAGCGGAACCTTCTCCAACGGAGGCTCGGGAGATTGGGCTGTGTGAAAGCTGTTCGTGACTGGCGGGCAGCAAGAGAGATGAATTTCGCAACTGCCGATGTAGGACAAAGCGGCAAAAATCAACAGCAAAACCAAACGAGCCACCTCAGACGCGAAGCATCGAACCTGTCGCTGAATGCAATCCCTGGTTCCAGTGCGTCGCACGGAGAAGTGATGGGTGGTGTATTCAAGCCAACCGCAGTGTGCTAAAAACGATGAGTTCAAGGGTGACAGTAGCGCAGCTTTAGCTTTCAGCGAACTTCTATATGGATGCTCAAAGTTGCTTATGCAAGTTGTAGATAACAGGCCAGCCTTTGGCGAGTACAAATGATGCTTCTTGCCAAAGCAACCCTAAAAACTGATCAAAGCTGGTTTCTTTCAGATATCCCTGCTTTGCCAACCATAGCGCGACTTGCCTAGCCACCGCCTCGAACACACCAAGTTAGCAATTCGCGAATTCGCCAGCGACACCTGTGTTTGAGGTGCTGTAAGCGCATCGTTACAGCACTGCAGGTGCATTTGCCTCCTTGTCGTAGACTTGCACTAGCTCCAGATTCGCCGGAGGAAATGTCCAAGTCCTGCAAGGGCCTGGCGTACGAGCTCGTCAAGTGCGTCGCGGAAAGCCCGTGCGTGAAGGTGAGAGGCCTTGCGAAAGTGAGAGCTTTTGCAAAAGTGAGAGCTTTAGCGAAAGTGACCATCGCCGGTTTTCTTGTCAACGAAAATCACCATCTTTCGTTGGTAATCCGCACGTGCTCTCTTCGTCGCAGTCACCGCTATTTCCCGCACAAACTCGATTCCCGGTACATCCTATCACAACCCTCTTCATCCTGACTGTCCGGCTTATCGTGCTTCAGGAGCAGGGTCGGCCGGTGCAGGAGTGCGCAGGAAAGCAGCCGCCTGAGATCCCCTCCAAGTGTGTGGGGCTGAGGGAAACTTACGCCAAGTGCAAGAGAGGGCAGGTGAGATGCGAGAACGAATTTTCAAGGGCAGGTGAAGGCCAGTGAGGGCAGGTGAGGGCCGGTGAGCTCAGGTGAGGGCGGCTGAGGGTAGTTGAGGGCAGAAAGGTGAAGAGTGGAGCACGGGTGCGTTCCGGACGGGCGTCCGGTTGATTTGAGGTGAGGAAGGAATTTGTGCCAGAAGTGGATGTGGGGTGAGGAAGGAAACCGTGCTGAAAGTGGATCTGAGATGAGGAAGCTGTGCTCGATGTGCATGCAAGAGTGGGCAGGCAGGTGAAGTGTGGGTTTGGTGGTTCAAGGGGGCCCACTGGGATGTTCTTTTGGGATCTCCGGCCATTATATCTGGAGGGTTTCGTTTGTGAGGTGCAAGATAGGAGAGTGTGCGGCTGAAGGGGGCTGGTGAGGTGCTCTTTTGGAATCTCTGGCCAGTGTATTTGGGATAGGGATCCGTATTTGAGGCTGAGGGGAATGTGCAGCTAAAGGGTGCCATAGATGAGCATTTCTGTTTTGGCCATGCATTGCAAGTTTGCATGAGTAATGGAACCTTTTTCACTCTGTGCATGTGTGAACCTCTTGCAGGTGGACATGCGAACACGGATTCGAGGCAATAAAGGGTACTAGATGTATCACATTGTATAGGTGGGAACAAAGTCAGCTTGGAAGCAGAGTGTTGTTGCCAGGACGGAGTTTGAGAAAATGGAAACTGGCTTGCCAATACCCATATGGTGAGTGATTGCAATTGCAATCATTACGTGGCTGTTGTGCAGATTTTTAGTGTGCTGATTGCAGTGCTTATTGTTGGTCTCTTGATTTTTCTTGCAGGTTCCTGTTTCTTGCTGCTTAGAGCTTTGTCTTGTCATTTGGTAGTATAACCGAAGGCAATTGTTGGGAAGTGTATTGCTGCATTATATTGTGTACTAGAGCGGGATATCTCTTAAAGAGTGGAATTGTTGTGCAACGCAATGTCGCTTCTGAGCATTTCTCTTCTCCCTACGGGGGGTTGGTTTCCTCCGGGGATCTCCTTAAAGCCCAAAAAAAAAAAAACAAGAGGCGACGAAATCGTCTTAGGGTTGCGAAGCTGTTTTTCACATATCCGGTTTTTATATACATCTTATCTTCAACCTTGAATGCCTAGGAGTTTTTTTATCTTATCTGATATAGAATGTTTGTTTAGCAGAAACTGCAAAACGTTTGCTTCAGGTATCGAACCCAGCATATATGGACTGGCGAATTTTGGAAACCACTATGCTACGAGACTTGAGAGAAAAGTCGCGTTGAGTTGGTTCGTTATTTACTGTTGCGCGTGAACTGCCTTAGAGTTTCGTTTTGGTTTCCTCTTTCTCCCGCTTTCCAATCGTGAGAGATGCCTAGTTATGTTTCCTCCCGCCACTCATGCTCCTCCTACCACTCAACAGGTAAGAAAATCAAGCTGCCACCTAGACCTTACCATGCAGGCTCTTATTCTAGTCATATAGTTTAGCGTATCTTAGAACTTCGTTAGCTGACGGTAAGAAGCAGTATCAATTTTAGTCATTAATTTCAGCGCATCTAATGGTAGTATTTTAGGTCGTTGATAAGCTGCACCTATTCTCATTGATTTATGCCGGTTTCAAGCCCGTTTTGACCTAGTAGTATGTCGTTTTAATTCTTGTGTTGATGTCCGTTTCAAGGGCTGCAACCCATTCTGCTACGTCGTTTTTTGGTTGCAGCCCAATTCGAAGTAAATGCTAGAAAAGTTACATGATCTCCTCTACTCTGTAGGTTCATTTTGAGACCGCAGTTGATTAAACTTGATGTGGTCTTTTGTAGGTGTTTGATTTGCTTCTATGTCCCACCATTTGCTTGCAGGAAATGGTCAACACATCGTTGTCTCACTCCTTTGGCTAACGGTGAGTTTAAGTTTGAACATCATATTGCGAAAGAGAGGGGGAGAGAGAAGAGAGCTGAAGAGTAGTGACACAGAAAATGGCCGAGAAAGCGATAGTGAGCGTGAGAGAAAACGAAAGGAAACCTTCTGGTTTTTGTTAGAGCCTGTTG